ATACAGTCAAAGAACCATGTGACGAACTTATGGCTGTGTGGTAGTAAAAGCTTTAACCCTGCTTATTCGTTATTTACATGTAGTTATTGTCTGTGCGGTTTTGTCGAACCCCGGCAAACTCGAAGTATTTTATAGTTCCTTCGTCGTCGACACAGTAGTGTTTGACTTTAATGTTATAAGAGGTACTTGTTATATCATGTTACTTTTATTTCAAAAAAGTGTTTTGTTCTGTGGAGGCATTGGAACTTTCCTGAATTTTGATATAAATAATGTTTCCGTTATTGAAACGTGAACGCGGCTTTTGTAAACCGGCATCCTCTCTTTTATGCATTAACCTCGCTTGTTCTTATGTTCTAAATAATCGTGTACATTCATCTATTAAATGATTTATTTGCTATTTTACCCCATGAACTTGGGATATCAGACCTCAGGTAGGCAATTTATGTAAATATTTACAGACAAATGACGTACCTTTTACTGATTATCATCTTCGTATGACTGGTCTCGTTTTCTAATCAACGCATGCTCTATCAACACACACACACATTCGCAACATTATACAAAGAACCCAGTCTTCAATGGACATTGTGTAACGAGTTGTCTCGACATTCGGAGAGAGGCGGGTGCGGGGTATAGTTTCAAGTGTTAAAAGAGTTTGAATGATCTCTTTGATTGAAGATCTCTAAAACACACGAGATCATCCACATAGAGCCTCTGTTGAACACACAGAGCATAAAAGCAGCTGGATCTAGTTTTGTATCATTGACAGCCATATTAACAGACATGCATTTGCTGCAGGAGACTATGTTGGATCTGTTGAGTATCCTGACGTCGGTGGCGTTGGCGTTGGTGACGGTGTCATTGCTGTTCATGTAAGTATGATGACCGTGTACATAACACGTTCGTTCATATTTGAATGAAAGTTTTGCATTTGGCGTCTGTGATATTTAACCATTTGACATTTTCATGTCGGGCGTTCTGGTATTTCTGGATCAATGAATCAAAGATGTCTGGTAGGCGTCTGAAAGAAATGAGTGGATCAGCATGTGTTTTCGGTAATTCGAATTGTGCAATCTGTATGGGAATTTTAAGGGCAATCGTAATCTCAATTAGTTGCGCCCGAAGTGCAAGATCAATGCTTTCGTTAAGGCAATTTTATGTTAATCTTTGCTTCAGATATGAGGTCAAAGGACTTTGCCATCCCTTCGGAGTTTTGTATGTTTCAAAGGGGTTAAGAATACCATTTGTTTCAGCATCAAAATATAAAATGAAAAAAAATGGCAAAACTGTTTAAAAAGGCTAAACAAATACACTTCAATATCTTTCTTGTCAACTACCAACGGACGTAATATACTGATATACTGATGAACTGATGAACTAACACACTGATATACTGTGTGTTAGTTCATCAGTATATCGTGCTAGTTCAAGTCTATTTGACTTGCTCGTAATGACAGAGGTGACGTTGTTCAAGACAGATGTGTCCGGTGTCCAGTGTCGTTGATGATGATGAATGAAATCGACCCCCACCCCGACCCTTGGCCTTATTCCCCTCCACCACTGTCAATACACACATCCGAAATATTGTCTCTCTTCCGACGGATAACCTGATCATTACAAGTTGACAGTGCTCCTCCGTCAGGTGCTGCTTGACGTGGGTGTCGAGGTCAGTGCACTTTAGGTCTCTGCACTAGAGGCCACCGTAAGAGTTCACAGAGTAATAGTATCATAATTCATCAGTTCATCAGTATTTCAATGTCTTGGTTCATTCGTGAATCGGTATATCAGTGCATATGTTCGTTTGTTCATCGGTATATGGGTTAGTGCACCAGTATAACACTGTGTTAGAGCATTCGTGTCGGTTTATCATTAGTTCATCACTGTTTCTGAGCGGTAGTTCATTCGTGCGCTACTTTATCATTGCAATAGTTCATGACTATATCATTGTGTTAGTTCTTCAGTATATCAGTGTGTTAGTTCATCAGTATATCAGTGTGTTAGTTCATCAGTATATTATTGTGGTAGTTCATCAGTATATCACTGTGTAAGTTCATCAATATATCACTGTGTTATTTCACCTGATCAGTATATCAGTGTGTTACTTCATCAGTATATGACTGTGTTTGTTCATCAGTATATCACTGTGTTAGTTCATCAGTACATCACTGTGTTACTTCATCAGTATATCACTGTGTCAGTTCATCAGTATATCACTGTGTTAGTTCATCAGTATATCATTGTGTTACTTCATCAGTATATCAGTGTGTTAGTTCATCAGTATATGACTGTGTTTGTTCATCAGTATATCATTGTGTCAGTTCACCAGTATATCATTGTGTCAGTTCATCAGTATATGACTGTGTTAGTTCATCAGTATATCAGTGTGTTAGTTCATCAGTATATCACTGTGTCAGTTCATCAGTATATGACTGTGTCAGTTCATCAGTATATGACTGTGTTACTTCATCAGTATATGTGTATATGATTGTTCATCAGTATATCACTGTGTTACTTCATCAGTATATCATTGTGTTAGTTCATCAGTATATCATTGTGTCAGTTCATCAGTATATCACTGTGTTAGTTCATCAGTATATCACTGTGTTAGTTCATCAGTATATCACTGTGTTAGTTCATCAGTATATCACTGTGTCAGTTCATCAGTATATCATTGTGTTAGTTCATCAGTATATCAGTGTGTTAGTTCATCAGTATATCACTGTGTCAGTTCATCAGTATATCAGTATATTGTGTCAGTTCATCAGTATATCACTGTGTCAGTTCATCAGTATATCACTGTGTTAGTTCATCAGTATATCATTGTGTCAGTTCATCAGTATATCACTGTGTCAGTTCATCAGTATATCATTGTGTTAGTTCATCAGTATATCATTGTGTCAGTTCATCAGTATATCATTGTGTCAGTTCATCAGTATATCATTGTGTCAGTTCATCAGTTCATCAGTATATCATTGTGTCAGTTCATCAGTATATCATTGTGTCAGTTCATCAGTATATCATTGTGTTAGTTCATCAGTATATCATTGTGTTAGTTCATCAGTATATCATTGTGTCAGTTCATCAGTATATCATTGTGTCAGTTCATCAGTATATGTGTTGTGCAGTTCATCAGTATATCATTGTGTCAGTTCATCAGTATATCATTGTGTTAGTTCATCAGTATATCATTGTGTCAGTTCATCAGTATATCACTGTGTTAGTTCATCAGTATATCATTGTGTTAGTTCATCAGTATATCACTGTGTCAGTTCATCAGTATATGATTGTGTCAGTTCATCAGTATATCATTGTGTCAGTTCATCAGTATATCATGTGTTAGTGTTAGTTCATCAGTATATCATTGTGTTAGTTCATCAGTATATCATTGTGTAGTTCATCAGTATATGATTGTGTCAGTTCATCAGTATATCACTGTGTTAGTTCATCAGTATATCATTGTGTCAGTTTAGTGTGTCAGTTCATCAGTTCATCAGTATATCACTGTGTTAGTTCATCAGTATATGACTGTGTCAGTTCATCAGTATATCACTGTGTTAGTTCATCAGTATATCATTGTGTTAGTTCATCAGTATATCATTGTGTCAGTTCATCAGTATATCACTGTGTTAGTTCATCAGTATATCAGTGTGTTAGTTCATCAGTATATCACTGTGTTAGTTCATCAGTATATCAGTGTGTTAGTTCATCAGTATATCACTGTGTTAGTTCATCAGTATATCATTGTGTCAGTTCATCAGTATATCACTGTGTTAGTTCATCAGTATATCACTGTCATTAGTTCATCAGTATCAGTATCATTGTGTTAGTTCATCAGTATATCACTGTGTTAGTTCATCAGTATATCACTGTGTCAGTTCATCAGTATATCACTGTGTTAGTTCATCAGTATATCACTGTGTTAGTTCATCAGTATATCACTGTGTTAGTTCATCAGTATATCACTGTGTTAGTTCATCAGTATATCAGTGTGTTAGTTCATCAGTGTATGATTGTGTCAGTTCATCAGTATATCACTGTGTTAGTTCATCAGTATATCAGTGTGTTAGTTCATTAGTATATCACTGTGTTAGTTCATCAGTATATCATTGTGTCAGTTCATCAGTATATCACTGTGTCAGTTCATCAGTATATCACTGTGTTAGTTCATCAGTATATCAGTGTGTCAGTTCATCACTATATCACTGTGTTACTTCGTCAGTATATCATTGTGTTACTTCATCAGTATATGATTGTGTCAGTTCATCAGTATATGATTGTGTTAGTTCGGACACTACGTACGGCAATCGAAGCTGAAAAGCTTGTTCGTCGTCTCTGGTCGTTACACAAGTTTACGCCCATGATTATATCCCACTGTCCAAAACATACAGGTGCAGATGTACTGATCCTCTTTATAACTCTCTAGTTACATAAGCTAATGAGCCAAGATATGTTGTCCTAATTAAACCTGCAAAAATGTATATTTTTGTAATTGTATTGTCCTCCTTGATAGTATAACGAGTTTTGTCACACATACTTGGTCACATAATGTTTTTTTTAATCTCTCCCTTCCCACTCCTAACCGACTCCCTCCAAAGAATGTCAGTAGGCCTGCCTCTACGATAACATGCTTCACTATATCAGGAATGCCCCCAAAACCCAACTTACTCCATGTTATGTCAGTCTTTAAGCTTGACATTTCAGTTAAACCTTATTTGATTAAACTTGTCTAACATTACACTTGATGAATCAGCCTTCCTTAAGACGACGTAGCAGCTCAAGTCTGAACAGTGTTTTCTAAAAATATTCCAAACATTAACACAGGCCCACGCAGCAAACAGCAGTTAACTGACCCCATTTCATAACATTCTTGTGAAATTTCTCAGGTTTTCATTCCCAAAGAATTGGCGTCAAATAAATATACTTCAGGAAAAAATGTGTCGGGAGAATGCTTTTTTAAATGTCGATCAGGGTGTTTGTCAAGAAACATGCTTAAAAGTGTTAAACATCTCAAACTAAAATATGTGTAAAATGTAAACAGCTTGCAGCTCGTGGATATAAATTTGAAGCCAGTCGTTTCCATAGTTACGTTGTAGGTTTTGTCTCCTCATACAACGGGAAGATGTTACTCTGATAGTGACAGTGTATGTTGTCTCTTAATACAACGGGAAGATGTTAGTGTGACAGTGACATGAAAGTTATCTGTTTGTAAGTTTGGAAGATGTCACGTATACTTACGTTGCAGATCCTCAGCTGTTGATACAATAAGAAGGTCTCCTTTCGATTCTTGCATGGCAGGTTTTATCTGTTAAAGGTGTCATTTCAAAAGAAATATTGTAGGCTTTTTGTCTGTTAAACGAAAATGCCACTTGAATACTATATACCGCAGGCAATTAGTTGAAAATATAACCAGAGTTGTTGTTTTTTAAGTTTTGAAAGCGTTGTATTTGTACAATCCAATTCCGAATTTTAAAGGTATTGTGTTCATGCCGTGAGGCAACTTCTAGCATACAAAAGCCGTATAAGAAGCATGTCATTTCAGTCACATGTAGGGTTTTTTGTTTGGTATTTAACGCCTACTCAGCAATATTCCAGCTGTATGGCGGAGGTCTTTGAAAAATAGAGTCTGGACCAGACAATCCAGTGATCAGCAACATGACCCTCGATCTATGCAACTGGGATACGATGACGTCAGCGTGCCAGTCACGTCACCGTGCCTGACCACAAGATCCCGTTAGTCGCCTCTCACGAGGGTTGGTGAAGACCAATTCCAATCCGGAAATTCACGGATACACATGTCTGTAGAGTAATGCCTCGCCCGTTTCCATGATAACATATTTCTTTGTTTCCAGATATGGTATGTCTAGTTACACTGTGTTCAAGAAGACCCGGATTCCTGGTCCTCGGCCGATTCCATTCCTGGGCAACCTTCTGCCAATGGCCAGAAGGGTGAGATGACGGTTTTGGTTGTAGTGCTCGTAACGCTTATGCATTAACCTTGGCTTGATGGTCGTGCCAATAGCATTGCTGAAAGATGACCTGTGCATATAATACTTAGAGTAAGAATGTTTAACACACAGTTGAGGATAGACCACACCACTGCAATTGTCGATAAATGTCAAGGAATTGGATACTGGTGGTTTGCAATGCAGACAGCAGTATTTTAATGTGTTGTGTGTTCGTATCAGGACCTAGATTTTCGAAGCTCTCTTAGAGCTAAAATAGTCATAAGCTAATGCTAATGTATAGCACTGACGACTATAGTCTGTTTGCAGTGAAAACGTACCGATGAATTTCACTTTAAACAAAAATGTAAATCAAATAAAGTGAAATTAAGATTGCAAATCTTCATAATTTTAAATTGCCAATTGAACAATAAAGTTTCAGAATTTTATTCAACTTAGGATAAAAGTTGTTTAACAAACGATCATAGTTTCACATCGCTATTATTGGAGTGTATTACAAGGGGGTATGCACATTAAATGAAACCCCAAGAACAAAAAGGGTTGGTTTCTACGGTAGTATAAGTTAACACTCATCACGTACCGCACGTACATTTGTTTCACTGTTCCAACTACTGCGTTTACCCCCTTGTAACGTTTTACCCGATCATCGTGAAACATGTTCAATAATATTTTATGCTCCTATGTAGTATAGCAATATACTACTCTACAGCTGTCAGCAGAATGTATACATATAGCAAGGCAAGTCCTATAATGTACATATATCTTAATGGACATTTAGTGGTTGCCGCCGCCAAAATTTCGTCTATTTTCGATGCAGATTCATTTTGTTGTTTTTACAGGGATTTGTTTATCCGTTGTTGGAGTGGAAAGAAAAATTCGGACCTGTTTTCGGGTAAGTACTTTTTTGTATACAGATTAAATAACTCAAAATGGACCAGGAAAGTTGAATACAAAATAACGGTAAATTCGATTTCGTAAATATCTGAGTGAGCTACTTTTGCGCACATTCAGACCAGAGCCTCTGGGACGGAAGTAGCCACCTACAGTTATCTTGTTGCCTCCGACAACCTCCTCTTGTATAGCTGGTCAACTGGACAATTCAGAATTTCACAATTCAAGTAGTCTCGGGATGCATATACGCAATGTCAACACATCCACAGGACGCGCGTGCCACCTTCATAGTGGCTACAGAGGTCAACTCATAACGCAGAAGGTTCCCGTGACGTAGAGACAATATGTTATTATCTGACGTGGGACATGATCCACTTAATAACAAAGTATACAAAATAACATTGCACAATCTCGCCGTGCATGTACGAGTGAGTGAGTTGGGATTAACGCCGCTTTGATCTGTATTCTGTTGAATCACGGCGTGTGGCATAAGGATAAGATAACCCACGTATACTGACAGGGTCGTATAAGGTGACGCTATTCACTGTATTGTTCGATTCGTGGCGTGTAGTCTTGTGCATAGAGTCCAGATCACAAATCGGTAGAAGTTTAGCACCGTTGGTCACGTCCTAGGATAGGTGACCTTAGCAGCTTGATTCTAGGAGTTTCTAGGACTTCAGTCCTGCTCCACAACGAAGCATACGTGACACACGTGGCCTCACCTCAGGCAAATGAGTTTTTTCAAAATGTCTGTTTACACAGCAAAAAGTGGGTACCCGGTGGTATAAGTCATATGACCTTTTTAATCTTCAAGCGTCTCACAGGCTGCATGGGTTAACCGTGGTAAGAATGTCTATCATGTTGTACGCGCTTAGAGCTTGCCCGTAGGCTAGGAGTGGGGTGCCATTTCAGTGGCCTTATTGTAACATCATACCCCTCGTTGTGATATGAATTAGGTACATTACGAAATCCCATCATCTAACAAATAAATGAGTTAAACTCATCTAAACTATTTCAATTTTCAACAACTATTTGTTTAATGAGGTATTAAGCAGTTTTAAGTAGTCGATGAGATTGTATTGAACAGCATGGTGCTGAATGCTCGGGTGCTGAATGTTCTAGTGCTGAATATCTGGGCTAGCAATTCTGTTAATCGACACATACCTTGGTTATCCGCCCTTGATTTCCATTTGCTCTTCTGACTGGCTATGCATGATGCTGAGGCTCTTTATCGCTGGGTTAGCAATTTGGTAAACTGATACATACCCGGGATCCATTTCCGAGATTATCCGCCCTTGATTTCCAAGCGCTTTTCGAATTGGCTACGTTACTAGGCTGAACGTTACCAACCAGAGCTCGAGTTACCAACCAGCCTCAGTATCAACAAAATGGCTGAGAGACAATCTGACCATGATCGAGTTTACGAAAAATTAGATTAAAAACTCACAGACACGCAAAAGAAAGTCGGGTACAATCTTTCTGATTTAAAGGATATCTCCATGTCCCTTACAACTAGCGATTGTTTGGTTTTTAGTAATACGAGTTACCTCCCTTACCGTTTTCCACATGTCGACATTTGATTGGTCGGTAAATGTTTTAATAAATCAAGGGCGGGTAATTTGCGAAAGCAAGGACCACAGGAGATAGCGTAGGTTTACAGAAATGTATCGCTTAGAGATATACGGCATGCATAATAATCTGCCGACTAAACCACTCCAATTTAACAATGTGTTGATGGCGCCCGCGTTTCCTGACGTTTTCTGTACCTTCCTTCCTTTCAGTGTCTATTTTGGTCACCAGCCTGTTGTAGTCGTGTCGGACCTTGAAATGCTGAAACAGATTGAAGTGAAAGACTTCAGCAAGTTCCAGAACAGATGGGTAAATGTCTTTGATGACAATGAGTTTCCAAAGAATCTGTTTAACATTTGGTCACCCTAGGATCTTCTCATGCACGTGACTCGGTTGAGCTAGGAGACCGCTGTTGACCAGATCATATTTATCACTTAATATAAGATTCCTCATTTCATACAAATTATGGATCTATTACACCTTTAACAACTAAGGAGGCAAATACATTTTCTTATAATCAGGAGGGCACATCTTCAATCAGCCTTAAACGTGTTTTTCCTCTTCAGCAATTATTAAAACAGGGTCATATTTAGATATTTACTTTGTTTTGCTACATTTAGAGATATCACTGAGAGATAATTATGTTTCAAGGACAACCGTTACACCCTAACTAATAATTCCGTTCGACTTTGGTCTTGTCATAAGTCTTGTGATACAAGGCATTGTGTTGGGGATGAAAACCTGTGACACGTGACACCAACAGGTCCAGCATTGTTTGGTGACTCAGGCGCCTATACATAGTTACTGCAGACCGCAGTGAATGTTGTAAAGGAAATGCGGAAATTACTCGGCATTGGTGACGGAATGCCTGGGGAATGACGCACTGTGTTATTGTTGAGTTCAAACAGCTGGACCTCTATCCATGCGAGGATGACAGGGAGTTGATGTAGGTGGGGTGGGGTAAAATGTCTGTGTGGGTCCCAGTCGTACTCTTAAGACAAGTGGGGCGGTGGGGTAGCCTAGTGGTTAAAGCGTTCGCACCTTACGCTGAAGAACCGAGTTCGTTCCTCACATGGGAACAATGTGTGAAGCCCATTTCTGGTGTTCTCCGCCGTGATAGTGCTCGAATATTGCTAAAAGCGGCGTAAAACTCAACTCACCCCATTTAAAGACAAGTTATGCTTACTTCTGGAACCGCAATCATGTCTTGATACTGCGGCTCATTTCCTTGCATATTACATATTATTGTTTACGTTTATCAGAAAATAGCGTTGATGTTATGACATATCATGCTATTGTTCTTTCTGCTCAATATATTATTCAACAGAGGCTACTATTGAGGAAAGAAAACACACATATAATAACTTGGTTAGCATTTTAAATGAGGTGGGGTTACATGCGATTTCTTTATATCATCATTACATCCAGGTCTAAACATGTTATTGAGAGTTTAAAACGTGCTTTCTCTAACCGCTCAGATTGATATGGAGTGATATGAACACGTAATTGAGAGCAATAAACGTGCATATCCCCGATCAGTGAGATTGATATGGAGTGATATAAACACGTTATTGAGAGTGCATATCCCCGATCAGTGAGATTGATATGGAGTGATATAAACACGTTATTGAGAGCAATAAATGTGCATATCCCCGATCAGTGAGATTGATATGGAGTGATATAAACATGTCACCGAAATGGAATGTTAGAACAACCTGTTTAAGCCCAGTTTTCTGCCCATACAGGACATTGATTTGTACCCCAACCCCATCAACAAGGGCATCTTCTTTGAGAAGGGGGCTAACTGGAAGCGGATCCGAAGCACCATCAGCCCAACGTTCAGTGCCAGCAAACTGAAACTGGTAAGAAGCATTGTCCGGAATACATTACTGCCGACGCAATCATAGCATTCGTGTAATACACGGCCACATTATCATGATGGAATTTCTTCAGTTGCCCAAAGTACCAAAATGAGAAACATCAGTTATCCTGTATGTCTTCATATCTCGATGATATTAGTGTAGTTACCCTGGACTAAGCCACATGCCTTTGTTTCTACATTAAGTACACTGCTGTAATACACCAACTCACTTAGTCCCATCATCCATTGTCTATCTCCAGATGTGCCATCAAATTAATGTGTGCGCAGAGAAGCTGTCTCAGAAACTGGAAGAAGTCACATCAAGGGGACAGCAAGTCGAGATCAAGGAGTAAGTGTTTTGGTTAAGCTGATTATAAACAAGGCATGAATTGGTTCTAAACAAGGCATGAACTGGATTCTAAACAAGGCATGAACTGATTATAAACAAGGCATGAACTGATTCTAAACAAGAAATGTACTGATTCTAATCTAAACAAGGCATGAACTAATAAACAAGGCATGAACTGATTCTAAACAAGGCATGAACTGATTCTGATCTAAACTAAAAGGCATGAACTGACACTAAACAAGGCATGAACTGATTCTAATCTAAACAAAGAAATAAACAAGGCATGTACTAATCTAAACAAGGCATGAACTGATTGAACTGATTCTAATCTAAAGCATGAACTGATACTAAACAAGGCATGAACTGATTCCAAACAAGAAATGTACTGTCACAGCTTTCGTTGAGCTGAATATTAGTTGTTACGAGAGGGCGCCAAATGCAATTCCTCCTTTTGGAGACATATAAAATGAATTAATAATACCATTCACTTTGTAAGGAACCAGGTTGGACAGTTTGTCATGTGACTTCATTGCCAACACGTGTTGAGCTCTTGACTTCTAGCCAGTGATAGTTTACTGTAATTTCCTGAATGCATGATACGACCGGACCCTTCGGCCCATTTTAACAACGAATCGCGGACCTTGGTATCAAATTCCTGCTGTATATCCTACTGAATTCTTGCCATATGAAAGATGCGGATCCCGGTGTTACACATCCTACTTGTATTTGTTTGTAAATATGCGAATCATGGTCAGACACGTGTCCCACCTAGTGAAGAGATATACGTACATCCAAAGATCACATTTTCCGTACAACTACCGGTTTGCTTCGATAAAACAAGAGGGGGCGACATCTCGTTGATTCCTAGACTTAAAATAATAGCCCTCCATAATGTTCTTTTGCAGTTACCTGTCTAGTTTTGCCATGGACGTTATCCTTATGACAGCTTTCGGGAAGAATTTAGACTCCCAGAAAAATGCAAGCGACCCCTTCGTCAAGAACGCCTGCAACATTTTCAAGGATAGCGTCTATACCCAGCCATTCGTCTTCCTCGCCAGTGAGTCGTACCAGAGTGATCTCCCCTTTTTAACTTAAATGAAATATAGTCCCTTGCTGAGCGGCGTTAGTTGTGAACAGTGACTGCACATTAACCATTACATATTTATGTCATATATGAATGGACCGCCTCCGTGGTGTAGTGGTTGGAGCGTCCGACCGGAGAGCGGAAGGTCGTGGGTTCGATCCCCGGTCGCATCGTACGTTAAAATATGGTACTTGTTGGTGCCTGTCTGGGCACAACAAGGACTGGTCGGCTCGGAGTCTATAATGTGTCTGAGTGGAGTATTCATGCTTAACTGCAGCATGGTATCTCAGTGAGCTAGCACTATAAATACCAGCTAAAGTCTGGGCTAGTACACACACACACGCATGCACTTGATATGTAAGTGAAATATTCTTAAGCCCGACGTTAAACCCAATTTCACCTCACCTCATATATGAATGTAGCTTAACTAAATTTTATTTCGCATATATACTCAACAACAAAAAGTTAAGGACCACCCCAATATTCAAAATTTAAGTACCATATGGATATGGATATTAAATACTTAATATTGAAAATTTGACTGGTCTTTAACTTTTTTGGGTTGAGTATATATATGATGGTTATATAAACAAAAACGTATATATACACGGGTTTTTTTAAATTAATGAAGCTCCAAGTTAACCATTTTACTGAATATTTTGCAGCTTTGTTTCCTAGCATGGAGAAGCTGGGGAAGAAGCTTGGGGTGTCTGCATGGCCTAAGGATGCTGTCAACTTCATCATCAAAACTGTCAGGGAGATAGTCGAGGAAAGGCGTCATGAACACGAATCCAAGGTAACTCCTTCGCTCACCATGAGTGAGTGAGGTTTTACGCCGCTTTCAACAATATTCCAAAATCATCGCAGCGGATTACATCAGAGTGAGTGAGTTGGATTTTACGCCGCCTGTAGCAATATTCCAGCAATATCACGGCGGGGGGCACCAGAAATGGGCTTCACACATTGTAACCATGAGGGGAATTGAACTCGGACCTTCGGCGGGTCGAGCGAACGTGTTAACCACTGGGTATAACCCCCCCGCCCCTGGTTACATCGGAAATGGGTTTTACAGTAGTATCCCGATAGGTAATCGAACCTGAGGCTTCAGCGTGACGAGCGAACGCTTATACCACTAGACTACCCATCGCCGCAAAACACCCTAACCTGGACTGTTGTGCCGTGGGAGAGGGAGTGAGTGAGTTAGCGTGTTTTGAATAGGTGCTCAGCTATATGTGGAGACAAATGACGCATGGGATTTCGTGAAACCCAGGAACCACGGATCCTTATCAGCGATCATTCTGGCGTGTCTAAAGGATGCAGTTCACACAGTGGAATACGACATGTTTGACAACGGGACCCTTATGTTTAGTGTTTGATGTTTGATACTACGGCTTCCTGTCATACAGTGGGCAACTGCGATGTGACGTTACGGATATGTAGGCAGTGTGGCAAAGAACAAACGTTTAGAACAAATCATTAGCTAACGATTTAATATGCATAATCTTCTTCATTCCCTGCACTTCTGGTCAGGTGCTTATAGTGAACCTTTATTGATTAATGATAATGAGCATCATTCCTGCGTCCTTTCAGAGTCAAGACTTCCTGCAGTTGATGTTGGACGCTGAGATGCCAGACGCCGATGACGTTGACCACCATGACGCCAACGGCAACGTTGACAAAAACCAAAAACGTCAGTACCTCTCAGTTAAGACAAAATTATTCATTGAATAGACCTCTTTTGAAACAACTCGTAATATCAGTTCACTTGGAACATTAACATCATTTTACGACATCCCAACACCGGATCTGACTGTATTCTGTCATCTGCAGGTCTCACGGAGGACGAGATTATCGGACAAGCGTTCCTGTTTCTGATCGCGGGGTATGAGACGACAGCCTCGGCATTGCAGTACATGACGTACGCACTTGCGACGAACCCAGATATTCAAGACAAAGTCTACGAGGAGATTGACACAGTTCTCGGAGACGTACGTATAATTTGCATGAAAAATGCTTAAAAAATAAACATGATTATTATTTGCAAAGATTTCACCATGTTCTCATACACTTTGGTTGTAGTTTTTCTAAGATATTTTTGGCATTGGCATTGGCATTCGCGGGAGCGGCATCAACAAATATCTCGATGTACACGTAAACAAGTTCACTTGAATGAACCGAACACTTTAAGCATAATTAGGTATATACCTCTGATTATAATAGCAGATGCATGGCGCCGGAATGTGATGTATGCGTAAATATAAATAAGAAGTGGTGTTTTTATACCTGTTTCCTTAAATATAAGGTACACCCACTTTCCTCTGTGTGATATCGATGTCATACAATGTGATAATTATGCGTACCATGCTTCTTATCGATATATCAGGGATAGCTTACGTCATTCCCTATGATCAAGGGTCGCCATAGTAACCACGGCTATACGAGACCACAAACTGAGACTACGATATTCATTAGTTACGCGTTGTTTATATGGATATATTCTTTAGACCCAACTGCACTAAAGTCCTCAAAAACATGACTTCGCGTATGTTTACGACACTGATTAAAACTTAACAGCTGTATTTGGAATCAAAGTAACCTACTCAGTCACGTAAGGGGAGTAATGATATCTTTATAAGTAGCTTTGTTTACTTATTGGTTTTACGTCTTTTTAAGGAGGAGCCTAGCTATGAGAATATCATTCAGATGCGGTACATGGAACAGGTGTTCAACGAAACCCTCAGGATGTTTCCTATCGTCCCGATGTAAGTGGCATTCCTTCACAACTATACTGCCTTGCTGGAGAGTCGCTTCTGTTGGCCTGAATGAGTTGTTTGTTTGTTGTTTAACGCCACACTCGGCAATATTCCAGCTATATGGCGGCGATCTGTAAATAATCGAGTCTGGACCAGACAATCCAGTGATAAAACCTTGAGTATCGATTGGGATACGATGACATGTGTCAACCAAGTCAGCAAGCCTGACCGGCCAGTACCGTTAGTCGCCTCTTACAACAAACATTGGTTGCTGAAGACCGGACCTTCACGGGTCTTATAATGACCAGTGGCCTGAATGAACGTGTGTTGGAACCTGTATGACCGTTGCTTGTTTTAGCCCGAATGAGTGGTGCTTGTTTTAGCCCGAATGAGTGGTGCTTGTTTTAGCCCGAATGAGTGGTGCTTGTATAAGCCCGAATGAGTGGTGCTTGTTTTAGCCCGAATGAGTGGTGCTTGTTTTAGCCCGAATGAGTGGTGCTTGTATTAGCCCGAATGAGTGGTGCTTGTTTTAGCCCGAATGAGTGGTGCTTGTATTAACCTGAATAAACGGTACTTGTATTAGCCTGAACGAGTGGTGCTTGTATTAGTTTGAATGAGTGGCGCTTGTGCTGGTCTGAATTAAGTTACTGCGAACGGCGTTACTTACTCTAGCCTCTCAAATTCATTAAATTCTTGGCACTTACCCAGTGCTGTGTAGACACTGTGCCTTGCTGTAAAGTTGCCCGCGTGAAGATAGTCTCAACAATGAGAGCCTTATATTACGAAGAACATGGCGAGGTGTGAGTAGTAGAAACACACAACTTTATGGATGACAACTTCTTATTTATTGCATAGAGCGCGGTTTGGATGTACATGTTTACACCGTTATCAAACTAAAAGTGACTACAATCAAATGATGAGAATTATATACACATAGTTTTGACACAGATTGACATTAACAGCAGCATGTAATTGAGTAACAACTGGTACAGAATTGAGAGCGGCCAGTTGGGGACTAAGAACAACAAACGGGACTGGTGATGGAAGCAATAAACAAGGGGATTAAGTTGTAGTAACAAGCTGATAGGGTGCTTTGATAGAGTCTATATTGTGATTAATTCCTGTTAGGCCGATGATATGTAGTATCCATGGTCTCTGTTGATCAAAGGCTTGATGCCGATCAAACAATTTGTGAGTATTTGTATGGATTAAACTTCTTATTTATTTTCCTCACGACGTTTCGGGACCATTCCAGGTCCCTTCATCAGGTGACGTAGTGAGGAAAATAAAAAAAGAAGTTTAATCCGTAAAAATATCTTGGACATCTATATACAACTTCTAAATGCGACTGAAAGACATAATTTTTAAGTAGTTGAGATAAACCATTTAGAGTTATTTCCCTTGAACTTGGTGCGGCCTTGTCTGCAGTCAACTTCAAGTTTAACACCAATTGTTATTATTGTGTTCATAGGTGTTGAGAGCGCATAAAACAATTAAGAATTTAACTGCAAAAGCTGGAACTCGTTTGGTGTCGTTGCCCTGCTCCTACAGAAAATATATCATGTTCCTGCAATACACGCAAGGTTTCATTTTGTTTTCGATCTTGCTTTTAGAACGACGCGCGAGGCAATGGAAACAATGACTATCAATGGGTACCAGATTGACAAAGGAACAGCCGTGGCTGTTTCAATCTACACCCTGCACCACGACCCCATGAACTTTCCTAACCCGGAAGTTTTCGATCCTGAGAGGTAACGTATATTAAATATAGTCAAGTATTAAACCAAAAAGTAATCACAAATTAATACAAATACTTATGAAAGCAGAGTTAAAATCAATTCGCAAAACACTCAGAAAGTTTTCGATTTGAAAGTACTTTAAATACCAATTTAAGTTATAATTGTTCAATTATTTATTTTTCAGGTTTTCGCAAGAAAATAAGAGAAAAATTAACCCTGTAGCTTTCCATCCGTTTGGCTACGGCCCTCGGATATGTATTGGTATGAGGTTAGCGCTAATGGAGGCAAAGTGCGCCATGGTTCATATGTTGAGGAGGGTCAAGCTTGTCCAGTCTGAGGAAACAGAGGTAAGTGACCGCTCTGATCAAATTACCATTTTCTTCTTGGTGTAAACCCGTGACGATCCGGGTTAGAATTGACCTTCAGTAAGCCAGGTTCGTTGACTTGGTTGACACATGTCATCGTATTCCAATTGCGTAGAGCAATGGTCATGCTGTTGATCACTGGATTGTCTGGTCCAGACGCGATTATTTACAGACCGCCGCCATATAGCTGGAATATTGCTGAGTGCGGCGTAAAACTAAACTCACTCACTCACTCACACACTCACTCACGATAAAATCTACATCATTTTGCTGTCTTAACGCCGCACTTAACAATAAATAAATACCAGTGAGCGATATCACGAGCACAGATCGCCAGGTAGGATGTGTCACCGTGTCGTTCCTTGTGATCCCTTGTGTTTACAGACCGCCGACTTACAGCTGGAACATTGCTGAAAGCGGTGTAAAACTAAACTCACTCACTCACTCATTTCTTCTTGCAACCCGTAATATACCAGTGTTATCACGACTGTCTCTAATAAACGGACAATCCAGTGATTGACATCATGAGCAGCAGATTACATATTTCATAAGGTGCATTGCCTGTAGTTGGATTGATAATGAGTGAGTGAGTGAGTTTAGTTTTACGCCGCTTTCGCAATATTCTAGCAATATCACGGCGGGGTACACCAGAAATGGGCTTCACACATTGTGCCCATGTGGGGAATCGAACCCGGATCTTCAGCGTGATGAGCGAACGCTTTAACCACTAGGCTACCCCACCGCCCCTGGATTGATAATGACTTTGATGATAAATGCAGCGGTCTATGTTCTATACCGATGTAACGTTGTGCACTTCATTTTGTATGAGCGTGACATCATTGACTGATCTTCTCCAGAATAATCCTGTTATTCACTTATATGTTCAATGTACATGATTTAATTAAGGTGTACGTTGTGTTCCAGGTGCCACTCAAGTTCGACAACAACAGGATAATGAAGCCTGCACGCCCAATCCGTCTAAGAATTGAACCAAGAACCAAAGCATAGAAACTTCCAACAAAATTCCTCTGCTGGCACTCTCATTATGTGTAATTGAGCCATATGTATTGTCATATAACAGCCAAATATGCATATCAGTGTGTCTCTAGATGATAATCAATATGAATATGGTCTTCCGCAACCCATGCTTGTCGTAAAAGGCGACTAACGGGATCGGGTGGTAAGGCTCGCTGACTTGGTTGACACATGTCATCGTATCCCAATTGCGTAGATCGATGTTCATGCTGTTGATCAGTTGATTATTTACAGACCGCCGCTATATAGCTGGCATATTGCTGAGTGCGGCGTAAAGCTAAACTCACTAACCCACTGTCATAAGCGTTTCACTTTATCGATATACTGGAGTTCGTTGACCGAAATTCCAATGCGCTTAATAGATGTCTATGTTGCATTTGCATATATCTTGTGAATATTGTGTATGCCTCTGTGATGGTAAAACCGTTTAGTTTATTTATCGTGCAATATATGTCTTGTATCCGTATTACCTACATAGCGCCTTTTACCGCATGTTGGCATAGCAACAAAGTTGATCAATGACTGATGTGCGGGTCATATCGTGTACCAGCTGTTATTAATTTTCATATTTAATGTAACGATATATGTATGTAATGAATTGAATAAATGGAAGAAAATATTTATCATTTATGATCTATTCATTAATATATATTATAGCCATATTGAAACAATGAACATGATTATATCACTGCACTGAACGTTTTACTGTGCTAAAGCCGAGTGGATAAGGCGTTCACCCTATACACAGGACTGTGTTCGATTTGCTGGTGTCCCCACCGATATATTGATGTAATACTAATAAAGAGGCGTAAAATCGTACTAACTCAGTAGTCGGTGAAGAGATGATCAGTGTCTTTATACCGCTAGTTGCTGTATTCCCTAATATTATTATGGAGAAATCGGGAAGGGTCGATCTGTTTTCATATGACTACAGGTAGAATCGTAACTCGTCAGTGTTGGGGCATAAACGAACATAAGATAACTTGGTGAATACAAACTTGCAATTTGAGATAAAATATCACTACACATGATGGGGTTTTGTTTCACTTATATACATTGTATCTCCTGTTCAGTTTGGCATTGTTTTATGTGCAGAGATTGAGAGTAGCTTGTGTGTCTGTCCTAAACGGGCTTTGGGGTAGCCCAGCTCGTCAAGCCGAAGGCCTGAGTTCGATTCCCAACATGTGTACAATGTGTGAAGCCCATGTCTGGTGTCCCCGTCGTGATATTATTGGAATAATGCTAAAAGCGGCGTAAAACTAAACTCACTCTATCCTAAACCAATCGGAGTTAGCTACACATACGTTTTCTCCGGATTCGGTGATTCCATACCCAATAAAACATTCTGACTCTATAATCGGAAACAAATCATATCTAAAGCTATATTTTTATGTGAATATACAATATATATCAAAGAAAAAGAAGCTTTTCTTATGATAATGTGCGTGTCTGATTGTGTTTACCTTATACCGGTTCCATATAGACACCATGCTTCAGTTCAACATGGATACTACACTTATATCAACTACGAGATGACCAGTCCTTGTCTATAATCTGCGCAAACGCGGATTCGCCCCCAAGCCATAGCTTTCTCGCTTGTTGAAGGGATGCTACTCTGCACAGTGCCCGGTTATTCCAGGACAACCGTTGGAGGAGCCTTTAAAAGGGAGACAACTCTATCCTTACTAAAGGGCCAGTTTACATGAAAATGTACCTATTTTACAAACAAACCATGCATTCTGTCGAATGCAATATGACGTCACTGGTGCAAATACATAAACGAATGACGTCACTGGATCTTAGTATCTTATTGGACTTGTTTCACGTGGTACAAGTACATATGTGTGATCCTTCAGACTCAATACGCATCTGTTTTACTCTCCTTTTCAACCTTTACCTTTACCGTGTCGCATAAAATTGAAAATACATCACCACAAAAGCCTACGCAGTCTTGAATTCTGCTGGAAATAGGGGGCAGTGGGGTTGTCTAGTGGATAAAGCGTTCGCTAGTCACGCCAAAGTGAGTGAGTTTAGTTTTACGCCGCACTCAGCAATATTCCAGCTATATGGCGGCGGTTTGTAAATAATCGAGTCTGGACCAGACACTCCAGTGATCAACAGCATGAGCATCGATCTTGTGCAATTGGGAACCGATGTCATGTGTCAACCAAGCCAGCGAGCCTGACCACCCGATCCCGTTAGTCGCCTTTTACGACAAGCATGGGCTACTGAAGGCTCATTCTAACCCGGACAATCACGGATTCGTCACGCCAAAGACCCGGGTTCGATTCCCCACATGATTACAATGTGTGAAGCCCAATTCTGGTGTTCCCCGCCGTGATACTGCTGGAATATTGCTAAAAGAGGCGTAAAACTAGACTCACTGTTGGAAATACACCGTATTGTCATATCATCAACTGCTATTGGTGGCAAAGTAAAGTTGACAGTTATCTTAAATCTCGCCTTTGTTGACACATTACTATATGCACATTCACGTTGGTACTTAGAAATTTTGAAATCTAAATATCGAACATTTACTCGGATAATTGAATTTCAAAATCAGGGATCAAGGGTATTGTTCTAATCAAAATCACCAATAGCCATTCAGAGCCGTCACCGATATCCACAGAATCGGTGTGAATGTTTTGGAAAATTTGCAGACACGAACACCGATCTAAACTATCCGCTATGTTGGATAGTGTATATATAATGACGTTTAACTTAAGTCGAATATATATGAGATGATCTGAAACATGATTTAGTATGAGCTTTCCTACACAAATCCACGAACTCCTATACATATTACAATCGCATGACAAATGACCTTTGTCAACAATACGAAGGGTCAAGGTCAAATCAAGGGAAATATATCACTTGGGAAAAGGAACAAGGTAATCGGAAAAACTGCACTTGTTTTGAGTGCAAGCATGTATTAAGATAGCCGTCTATATTTTAATGATTTGTAACATTTAACAAAAACTGTCATACTTTCGAATGTGTAAAGCCCATTTCTGGTGGCCCTCGCCGTGATATTGCTGGAATATTGCTAAAAACGACGTAAAAGTAAACTCACTCACTCATAACTTCCGTCCAGCGTGAAGACAATGGTTATTGACATTTCTGACTATTTTCCTCGGTTATAACGAAAAAACACTTCACAGCACTGGTAAAAAACATGTCACATTTATTCACAAGATCCCTGAAACAACGAAATTCCCCTCGTAAAAGTACGCCTAGTCCTCTTTTGTGAAAGTGGGTTACAAGTAGTCATGGCATAGTTCGAGTTATTTTTTACACATATGGTATTTTCCATAAGGTGAAGGTTTATTATAATACAACACACACTTACACTGTCCCACAGCATAATGTTTCAAATATAAGGCAAGTTTTTCTCATATTTTCATTTTTTTACGCAATTAATTACACTGTGGATATCTTTTGTGTTGGGACAAGACAGGAGACCAGTCTGACTTGGCACCAATTACGTCATAATCTGTGGAGGGTCACTCGGATCTGTTTGGCGTGGAAAACAAAGGCCTATATATAATGGCATTATATTTCAACACTTATATTGGAGCTTTCTACTTTCAATGTAAAAACATAATGAGTGTATATATAGTTCTATAATTGATATTATACTAATTCTAACGAATGTTGTTCATATAAGGAAACGTGCCATTTGAGTGTACAGCTTCCTTTCAGTCATTTTACATGCAAAGTATATATAATCAAACATTTGACCATCAGGTATTCAACTGAAAATATCTACAGCACAGGCGTAGATAAAAAAAATGCCTTCAAATTACAAAGGATGGGTGAAATTGTTTGCAGACAAGAACGTGTTGATCATAGCCGATATAAAGTTGTTAGCATACAGTGGCCTGATCATCACTGCTTGCAACATTGTTAGCATACATTGAACTGATTTTCACGACCATGTGTAACGTTGTTAGCATACAATGGCCTGATTACCACAGCCGGTTTGTAACACTGTTAGCATACAATTAGCCTGATTATAACATTATGACGGCCCATGTGTAACGTTGTTAGCATACACTGGCCTGATTATCACAGCCGGTTTGTAACACTGTTAGCATACAATTAGCAGATTATCACAGCCCATGTGTAACGTTGTTAGCATACACTGGCCTGATTATAACAGCCGGTTTGTAACACTGTTAGCATACGATTAGCAGATTATCACAGCCTATACGTAACGTTGTTAGTATACAACGACCTGATTACAATAATATCACAGCTTGTGTATAACGCTGTCATCATAAAACAGTCACCTGCATATCACAGACGGTGTATGGCTTTGCTAGAAACGCCATTCTGTTCGGCTAATGTTTCACCACCGGGTGTCTTGTTATTACTTCCATTCTTGTCTCTCGTCACTTGAACGCTAGGCAGGGTCTGGTTGATGGCCACACAGACCAGACACACACCAGTAACGAACACAAACACAAGTATAATCATCATAATAGTTAACGCCTGTTGCACGTCAAACCACTGAAGACAGACACTAATCCCAAGGAAAATGCTGAACATGGCGACAGAAAAAATGAGACCGAGTGCCTTCCTCAAAGTCGACGGGTTCGACTTCTTGCCGCCCAGTTTCTTTTCCAAATGATGAAACGCAAAGAACAGCATCCACGCGTACAGGAAACCAAGATAATAAACGGCGGGAATCCGGACGACCTCCTGGAGCCTGACGAACGTGCGACCTTGGGCGTCTGGGATCCAACTGTACATGTACAGGATGACGCCGATATAGATGGCAAGGGGGATAACTCGAAAAGCAGCATGAATCTTCCGCCAGAACGGCAAACGAAAATATCTGAAATGGGAAGGATTACTGAAGATCATTGCTTGTGAGTACAGTGTGTTTCAAATTTAACTTCCTTTCGACAACGATCTGAGCAAGTTGGTTTGTTTGTTTGTTTATTGCCGCATATGGCGGAGTTCTGTGAATAATCGAATCTGGACCCGACAATCCAGTGATCAACAGCATAAGCATCGATCTACGCAATTGGGACACGATATCCCACTACCCGCCTCTTACGACAAGCTTTGGTTTGCGGACGACCAATTCTAACCCGGATCTTCACGGGTCGATCTGGTCAAGATGAAGATTATGATGCAATCGTGATTCCTGACCCACCTGCACCATCGAATCGGTGCCAAAGGTTAACGTTTCCTGCAGCGGAACAAATCCCTGAGGAACAAATCTGATCCTTACTGAATAAACCTTTCGTGTATTTACCGTTTATAAACTATTTAATATTATTTCGATAAACACAGATATGTTTGCAGTTGAAGAGACGTTAGATTAAAGGTGTAGTGCTTGTCAGCTTTTCATATGAACCGATGTTTAAATACAATGTGTGCATATCTGTTCGATACGAAGAGGAGAGGAACATGTGACCTTGTTAAGGCATCAGTCCGCCACCATCTTTAATCCAACAGTTCGCCATGTACCCGCCCGAATTCATAATTTCAGATTAACGAATCGCGAATTCGGGGTAGCATCCTTCAGAAAATACATTTTAGAAATATTCAGCAAAGCCCCCAAAGCGGGCTTTCCATAAGGAATCGGCGTACATACATAGCTTGGCATTGTGTATATATACCTTAGATTATTTGTTGTTATATGCTTGTATTGGCTCTTTGAATGCAAAACAAATTTCCCTTGTGGGACAATAAAGTTTATCTTATCTTATCTTATTAGCGTCGTACTGACATTTTGGATTCGACGCTTGTTACAGTTATTCGCACGCACCTGTGACACTACAATGAGAAGTGAGAAGCCAAAGCAGAACATTGGCCACAACTTGGTGCCAAGGAGATCCGGTCCCCCGGTCTGTATGGCGACAACGGTGCCGTGTACTGTTACCCAGGTTTCCAGAAGTAGCCGCCAGTATTTGTTCAGATGAAAGTTCGTGTAGATCAAACTTCCTGGAATATAACACGCGGTATTTGATCAAACATACTTGCATGGCATATCCGAACTTGACAAAATAGAACATGTTTTGAAACAGGAAAGATATCTACACGAGAATGTTTTTTATGACGCTTTGGCAATATTCCAGTATTTACACGCAGAGACGATGGAAACTGGATACGCACATGCCGGACTTTTGGCAAGACATGCGAATGTTGTAACCACTGAACTACCAGCTGCCTCCATAAGCATGATATACAGAGGAATCTCGTTACAGTACATTCGAATAGACCGGATTCAGGTGTTATGTCCCTTTGTGTGCAAATGTAATCTATGCTCAAAACAGCAATCGTCTTGTCTAAAAGTGAAACTGTCTTTGGTATGGATGACAAACATATGTACAGATAAATAACTACCTTGCAGCATTATAATCCAAGTATGGAAGAATCCCAAGGCATGTCCCCACGTATTTTCCATCGGGTGGTACCAAAATGTATAGATGGCGCCCCAAGCAAAGGCGTAACCATGGTAACGCCTGATGAAGGAGAATGCCGCTTGATCAAGACGGAGTTTCCTGCTGATCTTGTCCTGTTGAAGGTCTGTGGGCCACAGGAAGACGATGCCCCGGTCACGGTACTCGATCAGCATGATGAACACCAGAATCATGATGACGGAGCCTTAGTGAGAACAACTAATATCAGTGATGGTCAAATGGATGTGCAATGTACGAGGGCGAGGGGAACATAAACAAAGATCGAGGGTACATCAACCCATGGGCCCCGAGGGACCAGTGAACAACGTATTTAACTTACCGAACACCTTAATGTTAATTTTGAATTGTTTGAAGCACGGGTACAAATCTTTTTGTAGCCATCGCTAGATTTTGCTGACAAGAAAACAGATTTAGAGTTATCTCCCTTCCATCGATTTGCATTCGCAAAACATCGGTAATGTCCGTACATCATACGTGATTCAATGTAATTCGAGATTAAGAATTACTGCCACGAAGTACCAAATGAGTTGCCATTGACAGCGGGGTACATCGAAATGTTACTCGCTTGTAAGTGGGGTACATTGAAAACAATAGAAGAGCGCTAAGCCAATCAGAAAGCGACATATATGTGAGGTATGATAATAGTTATGGTTGTGTTCATGGACAGTGCCATTAAAAGTGTGTAAGCATTTGTATCATTTACAGTTAGTGACTGAGTGAGTCTAAACGCCTCGTTTATAAATAATTCGGCAATATGCTATGAGGGCACACCAAACCCTCGCACATGGATCGTCGTAGTTCATATGAATAAACTCGTATTCCAGCCAAGGCCTACACAGAGTTTATAGGGCGAGTGCATTTTCTTTGACGCACCTTTCCGCAAGAAATTTGAGCGTAACAGTTTTAGGCAAAAACAAGATTGAAGACTCAACCTATCGACTAATGCATGTGCATGCATTACTAAAACAAACAATCGTCTTCAAAACGAGAGAATTACCTCCACTAAAATCGACTCACTTTATTACTAAATGACCTGAAACATAAAGACCCCCACCAACATTCCACCATTTGTCGACCATTTTGGTAATGGTAATTAGCAGTTGTATCAAAAATAGGAATCGTATTAAACGGACCGTGATTACATGACGCTCTGAAGTCTGAGGAAGGGGGACGAAGTTTTAGCAGTTTCTATTTGTTCCTTAATACGTTTTAATGCGTTTCCACTTTTTATTCAACTACTAATTACCATAACAGTATGGCCGACAAATGGTGGAAAGTAGGTGGGGTCTCTATGTTTCAGGTCATTTAAGTAATAAAATGAGTCGTTTTTAGAGGAGGTAAGTGTTTCATTTTGAAGATGAATGAAAGTTTTATCAATCCATGCACATGTTTTAGTCGATAGGTTGAGTTTCTACCCTCGTTTATGCCTAAATTCGTTGTGCCTCTCTGCCTAGTGAAGTGCGTCAAAGAACTTGAATTCGCCGGCTAGACGTCGAGCACACCTTGGTATAGTGCAAAGCCGTCTAGTTATATGCTGGACTAGGATCGTCGTTGTCACAATCCCAGGAATCTTGAAAAATTTTGAAGACAAAACCCTTATTCACAAAATGGTTTGCAAAATTTGAATCACGGCTATCAGATCAATATGAACAGATATGCCGAAATACAGAAAACCATAGTTTGGTCGATATTCACCAACTCAGGTTGGTTGGTTGCTTGCTTGCTTTCTTGTTTAACGCCGCACTCAGCAATATCTCAGCAATATTCCAGCTATTTGGCGGCGGTCTGTAAATAATCGATCCTGGACCAGACAATCCAGTGATCAACAGCATGAGCATTGATCTAAGCAATTGGGATACGATGACATCTGTCAACCAAGTCAGCGAGTCTGACCACCCGATCCCGTTGGTCGCCTCTTATGACAAGCATGGGTTGCTGAAGATCAATTCGAACCGGGATTTGTACGGGTTCACTAACACAGGCTACCTGTATCTTGTGTATACCCACCCACATGAAGCGTTCGAAAGTCCATTTATTAAACTAAATTGATTAAGATAGCTTACTTTGAGAACTGGCAATGGACACATCCGACGCCAGAGCGTCATAAGTCGTGTGCGTCTGCGCAAGATGTAGAAGATGGAAGAATACATGCAGACCGAAGGAAATATAGTTCCACTTGGTCAGTCGAGTGCTGTAACGCTGAGACGTCGTCACGTGTGCCTGGAAAGGAAAATAGAATATATATCATGTAACAAAACAATAGGGATTCTTAATCTGAATCTGTTAATAGCTCAAAGGTGACGTGATCACAGCATATGTGGATATACTTGAGGCGTTTTCCACATTACAGTATATGACACAAACACCCACTGTTTCTCCATCTACGCTCACATGTATAATGCTTGTATATAAATTCCATAACTGTTATTCTGTCCTCATTGTGCCACCCGTGGAAACCACATTTTGTATATCTCTGCTCGGTTTTAAATATCCATGCAATGAATGGTCGATGCAGTTCTGGGTCCCGATCCACAAGCGTTTGTAACGTTACGACCTGCCGTAACTCTGTAGGTGCCTGACTCTGAGGGTGTGGGTTCGAATCACGGATGGGACTCAACCCCCCCAACAGTACTAGAATCTGTACTTTACAAAGAATGTGCAATCCCAAATATAACATATGTTGCATTTGACCACTTTCTAATATGGCATTGTGTATTTCGTATTTCCATAGTTTATCATAGGCTTACGAATGTCGAAGCGCTACGAACGTTTTGTGGATTCCACATATATTAGTGTCAGTGGAGCAGATGTAGTAGATTATATAATTGCCTCGTCACACATTTGTGATCATGTTGATTTTGTTACCCTTCACGCACTTAGTCTGACCATCTTCCTCTCAATATGAAAATACGAGGGCTTCGCACGTTCTACATCTACTGAAAAGCGGTCATATAAATCCATTTGCGATAACGACAAACTGGAGTTTTTTTAACAAGATATTTTATCAGATAATGTTAACAAAAACACGTTAAGAAAATCTTTGAATGTATTAGGTCTTACGACGTTTATGTTCAAGATTCTTTCTCCAATATTGTTTTAGTGAGTGAGTGAGTGAGTGAGCTAGTGAGTGAGAGGTGCAAAGCCCAGCACATCGAAATGAGTTTTTAATGGCTTATGTGGTAGGTTTCGTTTGTTTATAGAATCACAAATTGAAGTCATCAAATTGCTTATGAATATTGAATATATCCTACTGTATACCCCAAAACTGTTATAACATAATTATGCTTTGTGACAAAAATGAAAACATAACTGGGTAAGAGGTGCACAAAGTATATGCTATTCTATCCTAGGTTTGGTAATATATGGTACGAGTGTCACAGGATCTGTTATCAAAACAACTACTGACTGATACCAGTAATCAGAACTGGGACGATCGCTTATCTCTGTCGAATAAAGGCCTCTATTACCAAATTTTCAGACTATGTTTATACACAGACATTTATCGGTTATCTTTGTAATGTGAGAAAACATAGCATTACTCTTGCAAAATTCCGCTGTTCATCTGATTTATTTATAGAAACAGGCAGATATAGAGGCACCAGAAGGGGCATTCATTATCCCTTTTTACACCGAAAATATCTGTATATCATCTCTAATGTCTACTGCCTATATCGTGTATAATTGTACTACAGCTGTGGGCTTATTAGTGCTGAAATAAGGGTTGACTGATCAGAGGTGAGATGAGTATTAAACCCATTGCACATCTAACGCAACATGCAGAGCACTGAGATACCCAGTCGCGTGGGTACCAAACTCCGACACTATATACTGGCCAAGGGTGTACCCGTTATTGTGTTATCCCCTCTTCTGAGCGGGAGACGGTACCCACCGTTTAAGCATTTTGTATGATACAGTGGGGAATCGAACCACGGTCCCCAGAACGACGCTGTATCACTAGACCACGGAAGCTGCATTAATGATGTGAAGACTACATTACCTTGTGGTGTTGGGCCATGTACAGGACAGTCCAAGCCAGCACCCGGTGTCCACTAGACCACGGAAGATGTATTAATGATGTAAAGACTACATTACCTTGTGGTGTTGGGCCATGTACAGGTGAGTTCAAGCCAGCACCTTGTGTCCACTAGACCACGGAAGATGTATTAATGATGTGAAGACTACATTACCTTGTGGTGTTGGGCGATGTACAGGTGAGTCCAAGCCAGCACCCGGTGTCCACTAGACCACGGAAGATGTATTAATGATGTGAATACAACATTACCTTGTGGTGTTGGGCCATGTACAGGTGAGTTCAAGCCAGCACCTTGTGTCCACTAGACCACGGAAAATGTATTAATGATGTGAAGACTACATTACCTTGTGGTGTTGGGCCATGTACAGGTGAGTCCAAGCCAACACCTGGTGTCCACTAGACCACGGAAGATGTATTAATGATGTGAAGACAACATTACCTTGTGGTGTTGGGCCATGTACAGGTGAGTTCAAGCCAACACCTGGTGTCCACTAGACCACGGAAGATGTATTTATGATGTGAAGACAACATTTGTGGTGTTGGGCCATGTACAGGTGAGTCCAAGCCAGCACCCGGTGTCCACTAGACCACGGAAGATGTATTAATGATGTAAAGTCTACATTACCTTGTGGTGTTGGGCGATGTACAGGTGAGTCCAAGCCAGCACCCGGTGTCCACTAGACCACGGAAGATGTATTAATGATGTAAAGTCTACATTACCTTGTGGTGTTGGGCCATGTACAGGACAGTTCAAGCCAGCACCCGGTGTCCACTAGACCACGGAAGATGTATTTATGATGTAAAGACTACATTACCTTGTAGTGTTGGGCGATGTACAGGTGAGTTCAAGCCAGCACCCGGTGTCCACTAGACCACGGAAGATGTATTAATGATGTAAAGTCTACATTACCTTGTGGTGTTGGGCCATGTACAGGACAGTTCAAGCCAGCACCCGGTGTCCACTAGACCACGGAAGATGTATTTATGATGTAAAGACTACATTACCTTGTGGTGTTGGGCCATGTACAGGTGAGTCCAAGCCAGCACCCGGTGTCCACTAGACCACGGAAGATGTATTAATGATGTGAAGACAACATTACCTTGTGGTGTTGGGCCATGTACAGGTGAGTTCAAGCCAACACCTGGTGTCCACTAGACCACGGAAGATGTATTTATGATGTGAAGACTACATTACATTTGTGGTGTTGGGCCATGTACAGGACAGTCCAAGCCAGCACCCGGTGTCCACTAGACCACGGAAGATGTATTAATGATGTAAAGTCTACATTACCTTGTGGTGTTGGGCCATGTACAGGTGAGTCCAAGCCAGCACCCGGTGTCCACTAGACCACGGAAGATGTATTAATGATGTAAAGTCTACATTACCTTGTGGTGTTGGGCCATGTACAGGACAGTTCAAGCCAGCACCCGGTGTCCACTAGACCACGGAAGATGTATTAATGATGTAAAGACTACATTACCTTGTGGTGTTGGGCGATGTACAGGTGAGTTCAAGCCAGCACCCGGTGTCCACTAGACCACGGAAGATGTATTAATGATGTAAAGTCTACATTACCTTGTGGTGTTGGGCCATGTACAGGACAGTTCAAGCCAGCACCGGTGTCCACTAGACCACGGAAGATGTATTTATGATGTAAAGACTACATTACCTTGTGGTGTTGGGCCATGTACAGGTGAGTCCAAGCCAGCACCCGGTGTCCACTAGACCACGGAAGATGTATTAATGATGTGAAGACAACATTACCTTGTGGTGTTGGGCCATGTACAGGTGAGTCCAAGCCAGCACCCGGTGTCCACTAGACCACGGAAGATGTATTAATGATGTGAAGACAACATTACCTTGTGGTGTTGGGCGATGTACAGGACAGTCCAAGCCAACACCTGGTGTCCGATGTAGCAGAGCCAGGCAAACAGCCGTGTGTAGGAGGTCACTTGGTCCGGGGGGAGCTTCCAGTAGTACCACCGGGAGTCAGGCTCAACGCCATACCTGGAGGAGACAAGAATAGATTATATAGAGACGTGGAGACAATAGGATTGTAATCACGCTCTCAAGGTCGAACTTTATATAGGGAATGAAGAGACTGATAAGGAATAACCATTTAATATTTCGTGGGCACCTGGGATTTTGTGCGAAGATTGGATGTTTTTCCAGCTACAGGTGCAGGACCAGATACTTTTAAAATTTTAAAGCTTTGATGATGAATCATGTTGGTTTCCTTTTTATAGGTAAAATCACACGCTTCACTCGTCACGCTAAAGGCCCTGGTTCGATTCCCAACATGGGTACAACGTGTGAAGTCCATTTCTGGTGTCCCTGTTGGCACAGACTCTCATCCGTACGTACGTACAGCTGATAATGCCTGATATGGTTGTACAATGTGTAGTGTTATATTTAAGATAGTCGACAATGCATGGCAGCTCCTTAAACATTAAATACAGCCCTGCGTCGTATGGGTTTATAGCTCCTGTAGGATGACCTGTGGTAACTTACCTCCCCTTTACGCCTGGCTCCGGCTCAAAAGGTTCTGGGAGGAACCTATCCCGCGAGGTGGCGCTAGTGTTGTGCGTGTGGCCAGACTGCGCATCCCAGTGCCTGGCGTGGCCTGAGTGAAAGATGCAGAATCAGAATGTATGTTGTGCAAATGATATGAATAGTTCACTGTATACCCGCTATTGCCTACTAACAATTAAGGACATCGGTCCCATTCAGGGACCCTCACGCCCTTTCTTTGTCTAAAACACACTTCGCAGCAGCCATCCATCGATTTAAGAATTCAGTATGTTTGCGTTCATTGAATAATAAGCATAAAACCAAGCGTGTAATGTGAATCTCACACAGAACGTATATGAAAAGACGATAAAGTTTCGGAGGACTCGGGCTGCTATGCTAGCGCTATTACCTGCTATTACCTATGCTGAAGATGATGCCAATGAATCAGGGCATTATGCTATTACCTATGCTGAAGATGATGCCAATGAATCAGGGCATTATGCTATTACCTATGCTGGAGATGATGCCAATGAGTCAGGGCATTATGCTATTACCTATGCTGGAGATGATGCCAATGAATCAGGGCATTATGCTATTACCTATGCTGAAGATGATGCCAATGAATCAGGGCATTATGCTATTACCTATGCTGGAGATGATGCCAATGAATCAGGGCATTATGCTATTACCTATGCTGGAGATGATGCCAATGAATCAGGGCATTATGCTATTACCTATGCTGAAGATGATGCCCTCAGGGTGCTATTACCTATGCTGAGATGATGCCAATGAATCAGGGCATTATGCTATTACCTATGCTGGAGATGATGCCAATGAATCAGGGCATTATGCTATTACCTATGCTGAAGATGATGCCAATGAATCAGGGCACTATGCTATTACCTATGCCGAAGATGATGCCGATTAAGATGACGATGAAGGCGATACCGCCGGACCACAAAAAGATGTCTTCTCGTTCCCGCAGTTCTCCACTGGGTCTCTTGACTCCATTCTGAAAGAAGGACAAATTTTAGTTTTCCCCACATTAAAAGCGTTGCATCACAATGTTCCAAGCGACGTGAAACCCAAATCAGTCTCTTACTCACACGTTGCCTAAACACGTGAACAATTAAATGTCTGTTTCAGTGAGTGAATTGCTTTAATTTAACGTCCTATAAACATTATAACAGCGATATGCCGTACAGAGGCCTGATTTTGGAGGAATCCCAAAGTGATCTGACATACTGACAAGTTAAACTATTTTTCGTAATACGTAAACGATGTATATAAGTGAATGAATATGATTTTACGCCGCCTTTAGCAATATTCCAGCAGTATCACGGCCGGAAACACCAGAAATAGGCTTCATCTATGAGGGGAACGTTTAACCACTAGGCTACCCCACCGTCCCCGGTGTATGTGAATAGACTATATTGAATGCGCAGAGAATGAATAGAGGGGGTGTAATCCATATTCCACCAGTTATTTGACATGCATTCATCGATCTCACTTGTTGATTGAATGATGTCGCGGACGTTCATGGCCCCGATGAAGCCCCAGGCCGTGCCCAACGTCTTGACATACCAAATAGCACAGAATCTTGGATTCGAAATCGTGAACACTTAATAGTTCTACTCGTAAGGGACACAAGGAACCCTAGATTAAGGGACCACCGATTCCCCTTTACTGCACACTGAGTGAGTGGGCATGGTCTTATGCCGCTTTAAGCAACATTCCAGCACTATCACGGCGAGGGACACCAGAACCCAAATGGGCTTCACACATTGTATCCATGTGGGGAATCGAACCCGGGTCTTCGGCATGATGAGCGAACGCGTTAACCACTAGGCTACCCCACCGCCCTAAACAAGAAAAAGAATAACAACATCCTTACCTCATGAGCTTCGTTCGACTCTTTCTCGTCCTCATTGAAGGTCTGGTAGGTCTAAAGTAAACAAATAAAAACATAAATTTCAATATTTACTAAAACAGGTTACGTTTATATTTCAATGTGCCCCGCGCGTATCAACGCAAAGGAGGGTCAAACTCGATACTGACATATGTTGTCGTCTTTTAGGGCGTATACCGTCTCAACACTAGGGATGGATTTTGTAGATGAATTTGGATGCTTGGTATTTCAATACTATAACTTTCACACATCTTTATATAAAACACAGTTACATTTTTCCTTCAGTAATTGGTTGTTTGTTTGTTTGTTTGTTTGTTTGTTTGTTGTGTCACGCCGCACTCAGCCATATCCCAGCTTTATGGCGTCGGGCTGTACATAATCGAGTCTGTAGCCTGGTGGTTAAAGCGTTCGCTCGTTACGCCGAAGACCCTTGTTCGATCCCCTCATGGGTACAACGTGTGATGCCCATCCTGGTGTCCCCCGTCGTGATATTGATGGCATATTGCTAAAAGCGGCGTAAAACTATACTCTCTCACTCATCCTTAACTGGATGTATTCCTGTTTGTAAAGTAAGTCCTTTGTACGATTGTGAGGGTCACTGTCGGTTGGACCAATTGCCAAGGAGGCGTTGACAACATTTCTGGTGCTACAATATTGCTAAAAGTCACTCATTCAAATACAGACGAGTGAAACATTCACAGTCTAGGCTGTCCCTAAAAAGAAATACTCCAGACAGAAACATACAACAATATTAAAATTAAAAAGGAGCCCCAGTGAGAATGGAAGTTCAGAACCCGAGAAAACTCCAAACTTGCTTTTTCAATACTTTCGTAGCACAGCCGGGCTTCATAATGTAGCATACAGCTTTATGGATGACATTTATTTATTGCATAGAGCGACGTTGTTTGAATTGACTCAATTTCTTCAATGGTCAAAGAGCTAGTCAGGGCTTGGCGAAAGGGCAGGTTTAGTGACTGTTAGGCAGGCTAGGTTGTTTATGAAGTCTTAGTTTACCATGCGTGTCCGACAACCTGACCTCTCTGTGATCTGTAAACACCATACCTGCACATTCAATGGAAACTGAATAGGAATAAGCCTGAACTATCCACCCTCCAGGACACACTGTGGCTAGCTGGTGTTGTCGTACACAGGAATGTCTCTAATGACGACTCATCATACTGCCTTCTTCACAACATTGACCAACAGGGTGGGTTGCGAGTGCCATCTCGCCTCAGAGTGTTTAAGGCAATTTTGCTTTGGCGTCTTACGCTGTTGAATACAACTTGTGGATCAGGAAAAAGCTAGACCTTTTGGGGAATGTACACCGTTCTAGAACACATGGAACGCACATGTTTCTGGGAAAGGGGAATGCACACGTTTCTGGGAAAGGGGAATGCACAAGTTTCTGAGAAAGGGGAATGCACATGCTTCTGAGAAAGGGGAATACATGTTTCTGAGAAAGGGGAATGCGCACTTTTCTTGTAAACATGTTTCTGGAAGGGGGAATGCATAACTTTGTGGTAAAGAGCGAATACACAGCTTTCCAGTAGACAGGGAATACACGCCGTTCTGGCAAACATGGAATGCACAGATTTCAAATAAACGGGGTATGCAGACTTTCTGGAAACGAGGAATGCGCAGCTTTCTAGTAAACAGGGAATGCGAAAACGTGAACAGGGAATGCACAGCTTCCAGGAATGTACCGCGTTCTAGTAAACACGGAATTCACAGCTTTCTGTGGAAATGCATACAAATTCATAAATGCTAGCACTTAACTCGGGGAAGAAGTTTCGTCTGTTACCAAACAATATACATTGTAAACTATTTACGTAGTTATATGGCATATGTCTACTTGACTGATATACCCAATAGAGATCATACTTAATATAAAAGAAAGAAGCTGAGAATGCATATTCAACCAGGTGTGGTGCCTCATCACCAACATGAATCTGTAATGTTAAATGTGTTCCATTGAGCCAAACGAAAGGAGCGATACACACCCCAAACATATGGGCTACGTCACCGGAGTGGTCATTGTAAACCGAGGCTCTGGAGCAGCCTAGTGGTCAAAGCGTTCGCTCGACACGCAAGAGACACGGGTTCGATTCCCTGATGGGTACAATGCGTGAAGCTCGTTCTGGTGTCCCACGCAGTAATATTGCTGGAATATTGCTGAAAGCGGAGTAAAACTATTCTCACTCACTCACTCATTTTGAACATTTGATTACAGGCTTTTTGGTATCATTAAAACGGTCAGTTAAATATTTTGGCTGGACGCTACAGTTGGTGCTCAAATCTCACTGACAAACAAGAGTGGGGATACACCCGCTTCCCACACCACACCTGCCCTGCATGATTGGGTGGTGCATTCCAGTTATATCAGTGTGTCTTCCTATAACACTGTCTTCACCGTACCTCTAATTAATTGTGCAGAGTTGTGTAAAGTTAAACCTTGAAGATATATCAAATTGGCTCACATCAAATACAACTCGTAGCAATGACCTGTGCTGTCGTTCTTGCTTTTGGGGGTTTCTTTTAGGACACAGCTATTTATGTATTTATATCGAGTCGTCAGCTCCAGGAACGTTTCCCATTATCACTCATGCAAAACTAAGACCATATTTCACTGGGGAATGGGATGCAGAACAATCCTACTGGAAAATTATCATTAATGCACCACATCGAGCAGCTCAGTATCGGTACAAAAGATATATATATTCACAAGAACAGACTCGGAATTGGGAACGTTTAACCACTAGGCTACCCCACCGTCCCCGGTGTATGTGAATAGACTATATTGAATGCGCAGAGAATGAATAGAGGGGTGTAATCCATATTCCACCAGTTATTTGACATGCATTCATCGATCTCACTTGTTGATTGAATGATGTCGCGGACGTTCATGGCCCCCAGGCCGTGCCCAACGTCTTGACATACCAAATAGCACAGAATCTTGGATTCGAAATCGTGAACACTTAATAGTTCTACTCGTAAGGGACACAAAGAACCCTAGATTAAGGGACCACCGATTCCCCTTTACTGCACACTGAGTGAGTAAGCATGGTCTTATGCCGCGTTTAGCAACATTCCAGCAATATCACGGCGAGGGACACCAGAACCCAAATGGGCTTAACACATTGTATCCATGTGGGGAATCGAACCCGGGTCTTCGGCGTGACTAGCGAACGCGTTAACCACTAGGCTACCCCACCGCCCTAAACAAGAAAAAGAATAACCACATCCTTACCTCATGAGCTTCGTTCGACTCTTTCTCGTCCTCATTGAAGGTCTGGTAAGTCTAAAGTAAACAAATAAAAACATAAATTTCAATATTTACTAAAACAGGTTACGTTTATATTTCAATGTGCCCCGCGCGTATCAACGCAAAGGAGGGTCAAACTCGATACTGACATGTGTTGTCGTCTTTTAGGGCGTATACCGTCTCAACACTAGGGATGGATTTTGTAGATGAATTTGGATGCTTGGTTTTTCAATACTATAACTTTCACACATCTTTATATAAAACACAGTTACATTTTTCCTTCAGTAATTGGTTGTTTGTTTGTTTGTTGTGTCACCTCGCACATATCCCAGCTTTATGGCGTCGGGTTGTACATAATCGAGTCTGTAGCCTGGTGGTTAAAGCGTTCGCTCGTTACGCCGAAGACCCTTGTTCGATCCCCTCATGGGTACAACGTGTGATGCCCATCCTGGTGTCCCCCGTCGTGATATTGATGGCATATTGCTAAAAGCGGCGTAAAACTATACTCTCTCACTCATCCTTAACTGGATGTATTCCTGTTTGTAAAGTAAGTCCTTTGTACGATTGTGAGGGTCACTGTCGGTTGGACCAATTGCCAAGGAGGCGTTGATAACATTTCTGGTGCTACAATATTGCTAAAAGTCACTCATTCAAATACAGACGAGTGAAACATTCACAGTCTAGGCTGTCCCTAAAAGAAATACTCCAGACAGAAACATACAACAATATTAAAATTAAAAGGAGCCCCAGTGAGAATGGAAGTTCCGAACCCGAGAAAACTCCAAACTTGCTTTTTCAATACTTTCGTAGCACAGCCGGGCTTCATAATGTAGCATACAGCTTTATGGATGACATTTATTTATTGCATAGAGCGACGTTGTTTGAATTGACTCAATTTCTTCAATGGTCAAAGAGCTAGTCAGGGCTTGGCGAAAGGGCAGGTTTAGTGACTGTTAGGCAGGCTAGGTTGTTTATGAAGTCTTAGTTTACCATGCGTGTCCGACAACCTGACCTCTCTGTGATCTGTACACACCATACCTACACATTCAATGGAAACTGAATAGGAATAAGCCTGAACTATCCACCCTCCAGGACACACTGTGGCTAGCTGGTGTTGTCGTACACAGGAATGTCTCTAATGACGACTCATCATACTGCCTTCTTCACAACATTGACCAACAGGGTGGGTTGCGAGTGCCATCTCGTCTAAGAGTGTTTAAGGCAATTTTGCTTTGGCGTCTTACGCTGTTGAATACAACTTGTGGAAAAAGCTAGACCTTTTGGGGGAATGCACACCGTTCTAGAACACATGGAACGCACATGTTTCTGGGAAAGGGGAATGCACACGTTTCTGGGAAAGGGGGAATGCACAAGTTTCTGAGAAAGGGGGAATGCACATGCTTCTGAGAAAGGGGAATACACATGTTTCTGGGAAAGGGGGAATGCGCACTTTTCTTGTAAACAGGGAATACACGTTTCTGTGAAAGTAGAATGCATAACTTTGTGGTAAAGAGCGAATACACAGCTTTCCAGTAGACAGTGAATACACGCCGTTCTGGCAAACAGGGAATGCACAGATTTCAAATAAACGGGGTATGCAGACTTTCTGGAAACGAGGAATGCGCAGCTTTCTAGTAAACAGGGAATGCGAAAAACGTGAACAGGGAATGCACAGCTTTCCGGAAACGGGGAATGTACCGCGTTCTAGTAAACACGGAATTCACAGCTTTCTGTGGAAATGCATACAAATTCATAAATGCTAGCACATAACTCGGGGAAGACGTTTCGTCTGTTACCAAACAATATAAACTATTTACGTAATTATATGGCATATGTCTACACGACTGATATACCCAATAGAGATCATACTTAATATAAAAGAAAGAAGCTGAGAATGCATATTCAACCAGGTGTGGTGCCTCATCACCAACATGAATCTGTAATGTTAAATGTGTTCCATTGAGCCAAACGAAAGGAGCGATACACACCCCAAACATATGGGCTACGTCACCGGAGTGGTCATTGTAAACCGAGGCTCTGGAGCAGCCTAGTGGTCAAAGCGTTCGCTCGACACGCAAGAGACACGGGTTCGATTCCCTGATGTGTACAATGCGTGAAGCTCGTTCTGGTGTCCCACGCAGTAATATTGCTGGAATATTGCTGAAAGCGGAGTAAAACTATTCTCACTCACTCACTCATTTTGAACATTTGATTACAGGCTTTTTGGTATCATTAAAACGGTCAGTTAAATATTTTGGCTGGACGCTACAGTTGGTGCTCAAATCTCACTGACAAACAAGAGTGGGGATACACCCGCTTCCCACACCTGCCCTGCATGACTGGGTGGTGCATTCCAGTTATATCAGTGTGTCTTCCTATAACACTGTCTTCACCGTACCTCTATTAATTGTGCAGAGTTGTGTAAAGTTAAACCTTGAAGATATATCAAATTGGCTCACATCAAATACAACTCGTAGCAATGACCTGTGCTGTCGTTCTTGCTTTTGGGGGTTTCTTTTAGGACACAGCTATTTATGTATTTATATCGAGTCGTCAGCTCCAGGAACGTTTCCCATTATCACTCATGCAAAACTAAGACCATATTTCACTGGGGAATGGGATGCAGAACAATCCTACTGGAAAATTATCATTAATGCACCACATCGAGCAGCTCAGTATCGGTACAAAAGATATATATATTCACAAGAACAGACTCGGAATTGGGGAACATTATGTAGATTCAAGAAATATACTGACCCGAGGCTATCGTTCGAAACTATTGAGTATTGACAAAACCATGCCCCTGCTCTTTTCACTCACTTTGTTAGCTGTTGATGTCATGGCAATGTCCCTTCGTCTAACGTTTCTGCGATCTGTAATAAAAGGTTAACATGAGACCAGGTACAGTATGTTACAGAGCTATATCTGATCCGGAATCCAAACGGTAGACAAGTACAGTGTGTTGTTGACCTATATCTGACCAGGAATCCAAAGGGCAGACAAGTACAGTGTGCTGGGGACCTACATGTATACCTACCCTGAAATCCAAAAGGCAGACAAGTACAGTGTGCTGGGGACCTATATCTGACCAGGAATCAAAAAGGCAGACATGTAGTGTGCTGGGGACCTATATCTGACCAGGAATCAAAAAGGCAGACAACTACAGTGTGCTGGGGACCTATATCTGATCCGGAATCCAAAAGGCAGACAAGTACAGTGTGCTGTGGACCTATATCTGACCAGGAATCTAAAGGGTAGTACAGTGTGCTGTGGACCTATATCTGACCAGGAATCCAAAGGGTAGTACAGTGTGCTGTGGACCTATATCTGACCAGGAATCCAAAGGGTAGTACAGTGTGCTGTGGACCTATATCTGACCAGGAATCCAAAGGGTAGTACAGTGTGCTGTGGACCTATATCTGACCAGGAATCCAAAGGGTAGACAACAGTGTGCTGTGGACCTATATCTGACCAGGAATCAAAAGGTAGACAAGTACAGTGTGCTGTGGACCTATATCTGACCAGGAATCCAAAGGGTAGACAACTACAGTGTGCTGTGGACCTATATCTGACCAGGAATCCAAAAGGGTAGACAAAGTACGGTGTGCTGTGGACCTATATCTGACCAGGAATCCAAAGGGTAGACAACAGTGTGCTGTGGACCTATATCTGACCAGGAATCCAAAGGGTAGACAAGTACAGTGTGCTGTGGACCTATATCTGACCAGGAATCCCAAAGGGTAGACACTCCAAAGGTGTGCTGTGGACCTATATCTGACCAGGAATCCAAAGGGTAGACAACTACAGTGTGCTGTGGACCTATATCTGACCAGGAATCCAAAGGGTAGTACAGTGTGCTGTGGACCTATATCTGACCAGGAATCCAAAGGGTAGTACAGTGTGCTGTGGACCTATATCTGACCAGGAATCCAAAGGGTAGACAACTACAGTGTGCTGTGGACCTATATCTGACCAGGAATCCAAAGGGTAGACAACTACAGTGTGCTGTGGACCTATATCTGACCAGGAATCCAAAGGGTAGACAACTACAGTGTGCTGGGGACCTATATCTGACCAGGAATCCGAACCTAAATCTGTAGTACAGTGTGTGTGCTGGACCTATATCTGACCAGGAATCCAAAAGGTAGACAAGTAGTCAGTGTGCTGTGGACCTATATCTGACCAGGAATCCACAGAGGAAAGTGATCAGACCCATAATCTCCACGGAGTCCCCACAGATAGACAAACACTGAACATTTGGCATTACAAATCCCCCGGAATGCCAACATGGCTGCTAATGCAAGGGTTATATTCTTGCTTGCATTTTGAACGTTGCCACGTATCCTCACGCGTTCGGTCCTCTATAACTGGTCACAACAGTAACTAGTTCATGCAGCTACATAATTGACCACAAATCAGTGTTGACATTACAAACCTCATTGAATGCTATTTTTACGCGCGGTATATAGCGGGGTTTCACGTACTGCTGTCAACGAGACATCGTGAGCTTGTACAGGAGTAACCCAGGTTGAAGTCTCGAAGGCGACGCGCAGGAGAAAACATAAGGACATGAAGTATGTCCCCGGGAGATATAGTCAGAGGAGGAAGGGCGGGGTGGGGCTGGGGAAGAGGAGATCACGTGACGCCGGAAAGGCAATGCCCGACCAAGTATGAATGGCATGTGGTGTGTAGGCAGTTATATCAATAAAATCATATTGGATATACGATTCTACATACAGTTGATATATAAGTTTGAATGTCATGTCAGTAATACAAATACGTATACATGTATATAGGCGAAATCTAACATGATGAATATGATGTCAAATATTCGATTAGTATATGTTGGCAATATATAACATCGTGATTATCAGTCCACGTTTATGTTTAAATTTATCTAAACAATATAGAACATCACGATTATCAGTCCCCGTTTATGTCCACGTTTATGTTTAAATTTATCTAAACAATATATAACATCACGATTATCAGTCCACGTTTATGTTTAAATTATTATCTAAACAATATATAACATCACGATTATCAGTCCACGTTTATGTTTAAATTTATCTAAACAATATATAACATTGTGATTATCAGTCCACGTTTATGTTTAAATTTATCTAAACAATATATAACATCGTGATTATCAGTCCACGTTTATATTTATCTAAACAATATAAAACATCACGATTATCATTTCCGCTGTGTTATCAAATACATCAAGGCAATATATAGCATGGTGATTATCCTTTCAGCTGTACGAATAAGTAAATCTAGGCAATATATAACATCAGTTATACCACGTCAGTTAATGTATGTCAAATCAGATTATGAAATGTATCATGAGCAATCATATATCATCAGTTAATGTATCTATATCATATATCATATATCATGGTCTAGTTATATGTCAATATGTGACTTATACGGTCTCTAACATACGCATTTTCTCACGCCAATTATAGTAATATTTATCTCTACTTACCGTATAGAGCGTAACCTATATGTTAAAGCGTTCGCTCATACCGAAGAGCCTTGGTCGGTTCTGAGCATGGAGACAAAGTGTAGAGCCTATTTCTGGTGTCTACGCCATGATCGATGTAGCTGCGATATCGCTAAAGGCAACGTCAAACCTTACTCACTCACTACTGACTGTTCAACTATGGCAAAACACATTTATGACGTCATTAGTATCAAGACTTACTGCGATTCATTCTCCTACAAAATGCGCAAGAATCTAACCCTCAAAATCCAAGGCACATCCTAAAGTCAGCGACACAACGATCGATATTCAGAGACCACAGATTTTTTTAGTGTGTTGCACACGTCTATGTGCACAAGACGAATGTGTGATTTACATTCCTACTTATAAGCGTTTCGAAATAGGCCAGACACGAACGTACCTGCGGTCTACATTCCTGGCTTACCATCCTCGGAGTGAGCTCGTGTGTGTTAGTGTTTATAAGGGGAACGCAATGTAGGTCACAGGGCTAGATACATGTGATAAGACGCACGTGGCTTCAACTTTTCAGACAGCCATAGAAGCCACATATTTATATAATATGAAATTTGTTTCGGTAATTGTATCAATTTAATACACATAACATCAAATAATGATATTAGGGTAATTTGAATAAGTTTTGGGCTAGTAAGAGGTGACTTGTTATTATCCCGTATCGCCTATACAGTTATTGATCTTCAGCTGAGGTATCCCATGTTATACAAGCAGGGATCAGCGTTGTGGGAATATCTCACTTGTTGCCATGGATGAAACTATGGAATACTGTAAGGGACATTCTCGCGATCTCGCATTCTCGCGATCTCGACCTTTGGAAACAAGCTAAAAATGCCAAAAGTGCGAGAATGCGAGAACGCGAGATTTGGCCAAGATCTCGCGTTCTCGCGATCTCGCATTCTCGCACTTTTGGCATTTTTAGCTTGTTTTCAAAGGTCGAGATCGCGAGAAAATCCCTTACAGTAATTCATATGAAACTGATTACATCCCCTATGATATAGCGAGATATTTGAAACATTGACACATGTTCAACGGATATATGATCGACAGAATCTGTTTGAATGGTGAAATCAGAAGCGTCTGTGGCGTCTATTGCAACAATATGACGCTCCCCGCCCTGATATTGCTGGAATATTGCGAAAAGCGGCGTAAAACCATAGTACTCACCAACTTACAAAAATTCTAAATCAACATTTGACTGAACATGTATTTGGACAAAACGAATTAAATGTTTCGCGTTTACAAGTGATGTATCTCTAAATATAACCGCCAAGTAACTTGAGTAGTCCGTCAAATTACAAGTGTTAATGGTATTAACAGTTTCGCGTACATTTTATGATACACACGAGGAATTTACAGTTTAGAATAAGCAAGACTTGGGTCATGACCAAACGAGTGGTTGATAGTACGAGCAACGTAATGGCGTCTAAAGTGGTCGGGGTAGGCTGACAGACAACCAACCAAGTCACTGAGGTAAGTTAAGTGAATGATTTTACTGAGTGAGTGAGTTAGTTTTGCGCCGCACTCAGCAATATTCCAGCTATATGGCGGCGGTGTGTAAATAATCGAGTCAGACCAGACAATCCAGTGATCAATAGCATGTGCATCGATTTACGTACTAAAGGTTAAGGCATAACAGTAGTAGAATATATGTATCATAGCCCAGAGTGGATGCAATAGTGCCGATATGTGTCATGCCTTTCTCAAACAACAATTTCCGTTTTGTGCATAATATAAATTTGTCGAATTTCAAATTCGTACTTTATTTATGTGTTCATGTTTCTAAGCACTATGCCCGTGCTCATGGGGTTCAAGAATACATACACCACTTCGGGATTCCCTTCCCCATCAAACAGACACACCTCGATGTAAAGTGGTCTGAATTTATGTTCAACATGGCGATGAAACCAAACTATACCTCACACACCCAAACAAGTTTGCGTAGAGCACTGTTCTAAGGCTATCTGAGATAGAGTGAGTGAGTTTGATTTTACACAGCAATATTCCATCACTATGAGGGACAAAAGAAATGGGCTTTACGCACTGTACCCATGTGGGGGCTCGTAATCGGGTCATCGACGTGAGGGGGAACGCGTTTCAACAACTTGGTGACCTCACTGCCTCTTATCTGAGAGGTGTGATTTTACAGTTTCGTTTAAAGGAGAACCATACAGTGCCTGCAAGCAGTGGGTCCACCGTTGCGTAAGGGTTCAGTTTCTGGGGCATTATGAAACAACAAGGCTGCGTGGCGTTGTTTCCAGATTTCCTTTCTTTCATAACAGGATATTTTTACAAAGTGAAACAATAAAATCCTCGTACAATTATTATTCAAATAATAAGTAAGTGTTTAACTATTCTAAAATAAGAAATGTTTCAGACACAGCAGCTGTCAACGTTAATAATCAGTTTCGATTAGCTGCCGAAAAGTGAGTGAGTTTCGTTTTACGCCGCTTTTAGCAATACTCCAGCAATATCACGGCTGGGGACCCCAGAAATGGACTTCACACATTGTACCCATGTGGGGAATCGAACCCAGGTCTTCGGAACGATTATCGAACGCCTCAACCACTGTACTCATGTAGGGAATCGAAGGGTGTTCGGCGTGACGAGCGAGCGCTTTAACCACTCGGCTGCCCCACCGTCATTGGTCGTAGAAGGCAATTTTATCAATACGAATAATACACACCTGTGCTTTATACTGTTGGGGAATATCATGCATATTACATTCAACAAAAGCATGGTTTTAATGATATCTCACGAATAACCCTGTAAAGTATGTGGTGTTTTGGCAACACGTACCCAAGGTTTGTGACTTGTAATTCACAATCAAATCACCTTTCCAAATATTAACGTTGTTTTTATGCAAAATTATTCCAAAGAACCAAATGTGTACTTGCGAGATACGTCTATATATCAACAACAGGAGATAAAAACATCAGACTTATACATACGTCTCACCGACGATGAACAGAGCAAGAGAACCCCTGCGCCTGTCTATGGAAAGTCGCCTGCACGTCAACAGGCTCCAGAGACGTGGTCGTTGGTAGCCTAGCGATATTGCCAAAGTGGTCCCAAAGTTTGGACGTTTATTGCTCACTTCACCAGTCCCTCCTAAAACTCGAGTTAGACTGGCGACAAACTTATATATTACCAGTCATGCTATAAAATTCATTTCAGCTGTAACAACCTCCTTGATAGCAGTTCAAGAATCTACATGGCGTGAGTTGAACTTGGGCGCCGCTGTGAGTTAGTGACCCCACGAGTTTAGTTTTATACTGCTTTTAGTAATATTCTAGCAATATCATGGCTGGGACACCAGAAATGTTCTTCACATTGTACCCATGTGGGAAATCGAACCCAGATCTTCGGCACAACGAAGGCTCAACCACTGGGCACTCACAAGGATAAAAACCCGTGAAGATCCGGGTTACAATTGATCTTAAGTAACCCATGCTTGTCGACAGGGACGACTAACGGGATCGGGTGGTCAGGCTCACAGACGTGTATGACACATGCCATCGTATCCCAACTGAGTAGTGCGATGCTCATGCTGTTGATCACTGGATTGTCTGTTGCAGACTCGGTTCACTCACAACACTCACTCATTACGACAATTGCTATGTTTGAGTCCCGTTAATCATCTTGTGGCCGTTGTGTATTGCGCGCAAACGCATCCCAAAATGTGTTTGTCAACGTTTGTCATACAAAATTATGATACATGAAAAGTGCATGCAGAAAAAGTTTCCACGTAATGCACGTGCAATGTGTTGGAAACATGAGTAGAGACATCGACTATAAAAGGCCAAACCAAATTCATTATAACATTACGAAATTTACGACGTAAACGAAGATAGAAATTGCTGATATATCGCCATTGGACGTTTAGAAGCAGGTGAGTCCTAAACTTCCGTTGCAAGACACTTCAACATCCACCACAGCACCACATCTCGATTATGACATCGATATACCCGCTTCGATTCGACTCAAGATCGCCCTAGAAGTGAAAGGCCAAGAGTGACCAATCCTGCTCAAGACCGATTCATCCGGGTGATTCGCCTATGTCACCGATTTGCTACAGCAACGGACACTGCAGGACAGGTGCCTGGTCTTCGAAGAATTTACGACCAGACCATCAGAAATCGTATGAGAGAAGTGGGAATTCGAGCATATCGACCAAGAGTTGGACCTGTTCTGACACCACTACACCGACAACGACGTCTCCAGTGGTGCAACACGGTGCAGACATGGAACCTGGGGAACTGGCGACGTTTTTGGCTCAGCGATGAATCGCGTTTCCTCCTGCAACGACGGGATTGAGTACAACGTGTCTATCGACGTCGACACGAACGTTTGTGCCGATCTGCGTTCGACAGGTGGACAGATGTAGTGGAGAAAGCCTCATGGTGCGGGGAGCCATGTCCTACACAAGTAGATCAGAGCTAGTGGTGCTTCAAGACAATCTTACAGCTAATCGCTACATCGACCAAATCCTGCGACCACACCTCCTCCCACTTTTTAACCGCCAGAAGGAGCGTTCGATCCCACACAGCTCGTGTAACAGGTGCCAATCTCGCCTTCCCTGGCCTTCCAAATCGCCTGATCTGAACCCGATCGAGCCTCTATGAGACGAACTTAATCGACGCGTCCGGAAACGTCACAGTTGCTAAAATCACAAAGACTCTGTCACAAATCATAAAGATTCTGTCGCAATAATCACAAAGGCTTCACTCTGGCTGTAACCAAATTCCCTTCCAGTGTCCAATGCGTGTAGATCAGTTACGGCTGAAAGGGGCGGTGTCACCGGGTACTGACCTAAACGCCCCCTTGTGTCCATACATGTGCAGTGAGTGAACAGAATTAATGCTGACAATGACAACAATACATATGTTCACCGTGTGTCGAATTTCCTTCATTTATGTTCAAGCTTAATCGACTCATGCATACTCTAATACATTTAACACATGTACATGTATTTAGTTTTGGCCTGTGCGTTTCTTTTCTGAATAGTTTAGTATGGATTACACCATCTCAACCCGTGAAGATCCGGGTTAGGATGAACCTTCAGCAACCCACGGCTTGTCGTAAGAGGCGACTTACGGGATCGGGTGGTCAGGCTCACTGACTTGGTTGACACATGTCATCGGTTCCCAATTGCGCAGATCGATGCTCATGCTGTTGATCACTGGATTGCCTGGTGCAGACTCGATTATTTACAGACCACCGCCATATAGCTGGAAGAATGCTCAGTGCGGCGTAAAACTAAACTCAGTCACTCAAACCATCTCAAGTTTGGGTTGGTGTCAAATGTCTGTAATTATACTTACTCAGCATTTCGGAATGCGTCCTTCGGGTGGTCGGGGTGTGGGCATTCGGGACCTGGGTGGACATTTCAAAAGGTGATGTTGACGTCTTGACGGTATTTCCTAATTTGACGTACCAGTTACAAACATGTTGTTCCGTGCAATCCCCCCTTATGTGTTGTACAAATTGTCCTTGCTTTCAAGTTCACAATCGGCTTGCCACTGAATGAGTTTGTTGCGTGTCCCACCGCTAGGTCAAGATGACTTCGTCTTTCCTCGAACACCCGTCTTAACACTGTCTTATAGTGATTCCTGAGAAGTTGTAAACGTGCAGTCTGGTATAAATCTATGATTGTGACAAATATCTTGTCGCTTATGGTAACAGCTGAACATTAGAGATTATATCTAAAGTCACGTGACACAAATTCGTGTCATTTTTTCATTGCCTTATCGTTACGTAACCATGTCCAACCAACCATGCTTGGCCTTTTAGGCAAATTACAGTCACGTTGCATGATGATTTTAGATGTGCACTATATCTGGTACAGAAACCTGTCGTGATGGGAGAGGCTGTAGGCACAGATCGACGAGCTTTTGATCATTTTAGAAAATACGATTGCACTTCTAACCGAGACTATTGCGGTGACTCCATTCATGACGGTTCCGCTGCGTTGTTTCATCAGCGACACAAAGATTACATTTCTGGGTGTTTGTGACAGACAAGACAGGCCAGGTCAGGTCATCGGGAACTGTTTCTTGAATACATGACAAGGTTTTCCACCAGTTTCTAGTGCATCTACAACGTCTGCCAGTGTCTACAGTAACGTATATGACTGTATTGAAGTATAGCTGATTGTGATAACATACAACTTGACGATAGGCAGTTGTGTTAATCATTGTTCCCTCTGTCAGACACAGCTAATGCTGAGACCAGATGTAACTGACGGGGGCGGTGGGGTAGCCTAGTGGTTAAAGCGTTGGCTCGTCACGCCGAAGACCCGGGTTCAAATCCCCACATAGGTACAATGTGTGAAGCCCATTTCTGGTGTCCCCCGCCGTGATGTTGCTGGATTATTGCTAAAAGCGGCGTAAAACAAAACTCAGTCAGTCAGTGTAACTGACGACATACATTGGGATATTTGTCTATCATCAAATGGTTCACTCCCAAAAGACCGACCTCCCATAAGACAGACTCAATGAGTACAATACATTGTAATTAGCTGAGCAATGCTGTCCACCCTTATTTGATTTAAGCATTGGGACTTGCCTCCAATCAAACACGGACTTCTTTGAACAACGGGAAAGTTCTATGGTATGTTTACTATACTGTAAGCGACGTTTCTGTGTATCTGCTAACACTAGCTATATAGAAGTTGTATATCCATAGAAGATGCCCCATTGTTCATCACCCCAACTTCCATATACCTCTAAAAATGTTACTGACTTCTACACCATGACTTTGACAGATATTCCTTAACCTATCTCAAAGGTTACAAACATGTTGGATGCGTAAATATCAGGGTTGGAATTGGTCTTCAGCAACCCATGATTGTCGTAAGAGGGTACTAACATTATCGGGTGGTCATAAATGATAATGTTAACGGTAGTCATTTCGTATGATTTTTATACCAACATTTCAATACGTCATTATGCCATATGTTGTATGTGTGACAATGATAAAAAAAACCCTAAAAAACACTTATTCTATATATTTCTTGTTAGAAAATGAAAAGGGGACTTTTTTCCGGAAGACTTTTTTACCTAGGCAAATTTAGGACTTTTTTATCGGTACATTTTTACAAAGTATCGGTACATTTTTACAAAGGACTCTTTTACCGAACACCAACATTACAAAGGTTACGAATTCTATGATTACGAGGAATATTAATATTGTTTCAACAAACAACTCGTGCGGTGAGCAGCGAAAACGGGATAAAGCTAGATAGATTCAAGCCATGTTTGTTGATAGATGTCTTTCATTCTTTGAGTCATTGACATAATAAAATACTTTTCTGGTTTGGCGTTTTCATTAGAATTTACTCTACATTAGTTACCCGATTTCTTTTCCCTTTTCTATCATATACATTCAGTATATTATAACATTTCTTAGGACATCTGTCATACTGAATTGTTAATGGTCGTGTTCACCACTCTTATACTCTTATACTTATACTCTTAAAAATGAGTTGCAGTGTGAAATAGGTATTTGAGGCTTTTATACATCCCAAAAGGAACAGAAGTTTAGTACGGTTTTTCTGTGCATGTTATTACATATGTAACAGATGCCAGGTTCTCAAATTTGCTCAACACGTTTTGGACATGAACAATTTTTTTTAAACTGTGGAATATAGGTAATAGCGTCATTTCTCACAGTGCAGTGATCAACAGCATGAGAATCGATCAACGCAATGCAGGATGCGATGACATGTTTCAACCAAGTCAAATAACTTGACCACCCGATCCCGTTAGTCGCCTCTTATGACAAGCATGGGTTGCTGCCGACCAGTTATAACCCGGATCTTCACGGGTCCCTTGAACGCGACTCTAACACCATTTTTCCTCACACTAGCCCTAATCATGACACCAAATGAACACCCAGGCGGTGTGGTAGCCTAGTGGTTAAAGCGTTCACTCGTCAAGTGTATTACCGGGTACTATTCCCACCGTGGGTACACTGTGTGAAATCATTTCTGGTGTATCCCACCGCGATATTGTTGGAATTTTGTAAAAGGCGGCGTAAAACCATACTCACTCATTAACTCACCATGCAACAACGCACAACAACTCAAGGATCAAGTATTACCCACAGTCCCCAATACCTAGAGCTGTACCGGACAGAAACATGCTCTTGATATTGTAGCGTAGCAATTTACTGTGTACAACGAAAGAGACAGATCAAAGGGTTATCTTGATAAGACGTTAGTTTGTTCAATTTAACTAACTTCTTTTTCGCGCTGACTGACTCCTGTCAGAATTCGACGTCTTGAGGGCAGAGGTAAGATGTTACATACCTGGCCGATCCAGCTGTTGAACTCGTGCGGCGGTGTGGTAGCCTAGGTGTTAAAGCGTTTGCTTGTCACGCCGAAGACCCGGGTTCGATTCTCCACACTGATACAATCATGTGTGAAGCCCATTTCTGATGTTCTTAGTCGTCATATTGCTGGAATATTGCTAAAACGGCGCACAGCCATACTCACTCACGCTCTTTCAAAATGAATATGTATAACCACACGACAGAAATCGTGGTGTATGAATACACAACTTGATAACCAATGTGGACTATTTTGTTGTGATTTTAGCTCCAGGAAAATGTGTTTAATTATATCGGATTTTAGGATATATAAAATGCATGTGAAAATATCTTTAGACCGCACTGGACGTGATGATCGTCTTGAAATCTTTCGATTTATTTACAAGGGAAATATCATGTCACATGACAACCCGTCCAACGGAACAGGCAACCCGACAGTCGTCCGCTACGAGCTGACTCACACTCTGCACTGGTCAGCTCACGAGGTCAAAGAGTTCAACTGTCCTCGCCTCGCTATCGCCTCTCTCACTGTCGGACGCCACCGATATATATGGTCAACAAGTCCAACGTAGGTCAGGTGTGACCCATTGTTGTATGGAGATAAAACGCCACGGAGACGTCTGTATTAGATTAATACGTCTTTAACACATACTTTATGCACTGCCTTTGACCGTATGGATAGATTTCTCAGTTACAACCCCCCTCTGAACGGCGGAATTACTTTTAGTCATACTGTGATTTAATGGAAAAACCCACGTTAACAATCGGAGGTCGGCAGGCAAACCCTCGAGTTCGAAAGAAGACGTATTTTAGTTTAAACATAAATAATTTTATTCACAAAGTGAAAGGATCCGAGACAAGTCCTTACTACTTATAAAACCCCTCTCCAAATATATTTACAATAACAAATTTCTACACAAGCAATCATAGGACACAGACACAAAGGAAGATTGACAGTTTGGGGGGAAATATTACAATCCAAAAGATGCATAGAAAGAATACTTCTGGAATCGTTTAGACTTGCTTATATACTGATGTACATTTTTAACATAAATTTCATTTGTATGATTTTCGGACTTGCAATGCCGTCTAAAAGAACAGATAGTGGAATCGCAGAATTACTAGCTATCTTGAATAACTTTAAACATGATCTGTCTATATATTGATTGTATAATGAAAACTCTCAGAAATAATGATGAGTATTTTCGCATGGGTTACCACATGCGCAGGATGGATCAGTGATTAGCCCAACTCTGAACAGATAACTTAATATGGCGTATTTGCGTATGTAGTATGTTAAATTTTCTAATACCGTAAGAAAGGTACATTGGAGCTGAGTTATAGGATGTTTTATGCTCGATTTAAATTTTGATAGTTAAGTATAATTTCCAAAACGAAACATGGGTCTCATGAACCAATTCAGACGATGACCTACTTTTCAGCTGATCCGAAATTTCTCGTGTGAAAGTGACACGAGACACTACAAACAACTATGGTTACACGAAATTCTAATTCCTGGTTTCATAAGAAATGGTATTTATAAATGAATTTTAATTTATAAATCGTATTTCTATATTTTTATGACGAGGTTTAGGCAGCATGATGTTAACTAAGACGTCACAGACCGCCCCTGTTTGATGATGTGTAAAATGATTCACAATTCATCTGGTTGACTGGTTACACCTGTTATGTGTTCTTTGCGCTTAATAAGTGTATTTTCTTAACGTACAATGTGATTGATATAATATCAAGGCCGTATAAGGGACCGTTCATAATTAATGGGTACGGGGGTTGATGATGATTTTTATGGAGTAGCATGTACAATGTGAATGGAACCCACCCCCCAACCCCTAAAATTTATGTACAAAGTTTGTGCCCCCCCTGCATGTCATGTACAAAATCAATTAACACCCCCTGGTGGGCCTGGCATGTGTGTAAGAAGACTATATTTTGTCAAAACAAACGTGGTCGAGGAAAGTAATATTGAGGTGAACGATAAATATGCTCGAGATGGGCCAGTCGGAATTGTATAACTTGTCCCCGGACATGCATTTCATAGCCTAGTCTGAGGATAGCGCACCCTCGTGTCATGACTCGGCAGAATGTCACGGCCACAGGCTAATTTGTATGTCACGTGACGTGACTTCCCTAGCTTGTAAACTAACGCGGTCACGCTGCAAGCCTTACGGTGAAGCTTACATAATGTGTTGTATAATTAGCTAGACGTACTACTACAACTGCGACAGTGGTAATATATGTTCAGACATCAAAGTGACTGCACTACCAACGTTCTTTATTATAATTAGAGCGTCAAATCTGGTGTCCCCCGCCGTGATATTGCTGGAATATTGATAAAAACGGCGTAAAACTAAACTCA